TTATATTTTTTTTTAAATTTAAATTATAAACTTTTTTAAAATTATAATTTTAAGTATATTTATTTTTATATTATTTAATTTTTAATATACTAGTTTATATAAGTTTTTTTTTAATTAATATTAAATTAATAATATTATAATATAATTATATTAAATTTTTTTTAATAATAAATATAAATTATTAGCCTGCTTTTTTTATTAAAAAATAATAGCTTAATTTATACTATTTATTAATTAATTTATTAAGTAATTATTAACTTTTCTTAAATTATTTATAAACTTAATATATTCTTATTATTAATTAAGTATTTTTAATAATTATATTTATTTTTAATTTTTTTTAAATAATATTATTTATTTATTTAAAATTAAAATAAAGTTATAAAGTTATAAGTATTTTATATTAAAGTTATTATACTTATATATTATTATTATTAAAATTTATATTAAATTTATAAATAAGAACTTAAATAAAGTATTTTTTTAACTTTTTTAATATAAATATAATAAAAATAATAAATTAAAAAATTATAACTTTAATAATTATATTATTAAAATTAAAAAACTTATTAAATAAATTTTTATTAATAACTATTTTTTTATTTATTTTATAAAGTTTAAAATTTATTAATATAATATAATATAATATAATTTATTAAAATTAATATATATTCTTATTATTAAAATATAATTTTTTTTAAACTTTTAATATAAAATAAAATTAAAAGTTATATAAACTTATATAAATTAAATATAAAATATTTTTAATTTTATAATATATTTTTTTATTTAAATAAACTTTTATTAAGAAATATAAAATAAATATTAATTTTTATATATACTTATTTAAAAAGTAATTATATAATTAATATTTAGTAAACTTTAATTATAATAATAAACTAGTAGTTTTTATATTATTATTATAATTAAAGTATTATAAAAGCTAGGTTTATAAAAGTTATATATTATTATAGCTTAAAATATATTATAAAATACTAGTTAATAATTTATTATTTTTTTATATTAATTAAGTTAATATATATTTAATAAAACTTATAATACTATTAGTAAAGTAATAAAAATAATAATAATACTTTAATAAGAATTATACTATTACTTAATTTAAATTATTATTATTATTATTAAGCCTAAGTTATATTTATTATTTAAGTTATTAAGCCTATTTATATAAAGTAGCTTTAGAAAAATTAATATATAAATATTAAAAAAAAGTTAAACTACTTAAGTTAAAATTAAGTGCTTAATAAGGCTAGGGCTTTAACTTAATAATAATATATTTTATAAGTTAGTTAGCTAAGCTAATTAATATTATTATTATTAAGGTTTTTAGCTTTTTAATATAAATATTAATAAATTTAAGTCTTTTTATTAATATAAGTAAATTATTTTAATAGCTAGAGTTTATTATAACTAGGGTTTATTATATAAGCTAATTTAATAATAATTATTAATTATATATTAGCTTTTTATTACTTTTATTTTTTTATTTATATTTTATATTATATATTAACTTTAATAATAACTTTTATTAATAATAAAAAATATATAATTAATATAATAATACTTTACTTAAATTAGTAAGCTTATTACTATTATTTAACTTATAGTAAAATAAACATAGCTTAAATAAAGTTAAGTAGTCCTTTAGAAAGGGGTAGTTAGGTCTGTGACTAAGCATGTCACTTTAACGTTTCTAAAGGTTAGTGCGGGGCAAATGCCTAGACTGTGTTTCAAGCCTCGTAGATGCAGCTGCAACTGGTTGCGCGACTGGACCTCGTTCCAACCAGGCTTTAACCTGCCAAGTCACTCTAAATATCAACTCGTTTTGCCCTCAAAGCAGAGGACAGTACTCAAGATGGACTTTTCAAAGTTCAGCAAGGGCTTCTCGTAAGCTTCCGTAACCAGACTGCTCCAATCCGTGGCGCGCGCATCGATAATACTGACGGCATGGTTGCGACACTTGCAGCGACCTCAGTGCGCAGATTACCCCATTTGCGTCACGGACGCTACAGTTCACCAAGGAACAACTGGGCCAGGCGGATGATCGAGTATGCGACTCGCGATAACGGGACTGACGAGTGTGGCATTAACCATTCAATGTCATAGACTGAGCTTCCTGCGGATTACATCGACCTTGAGAAAAAGGTCGATGCTCTCAAACAAGCCCACCAGAAGATGCTGGCGGTGACGTTTGTCGTCCAACTAGCCCCTCCGGCTTATTGCACTGTTATGCTAACCTTTGCGGTTGGACAGGTCGCAATATGCTAACGAAGCTTATGACTACCCGCCCAATATCAAGGAGACCTTCCAGGACCTTGGTCGAACCGTGAGCGAAAAGGTCAGCCTTCTATCCTCGGCTACAACGCCTGCGGAAGCTCAAGCAGCCCTGGTGGCTCCGGCATCCGCGAAGCCGCAACCCAAGACCTTCAATCATGCCATTTCCCGTGCGAGCTTAGCTAGCAGCCAACTCCTGCACCAGCATCACACAGGGGCTGGCGAAGATCCCCTGGCGACCGCACTCGAGAAATATGCGCTTGCTATGGAACGGGTGGGCGATGCGCGCCTCGCCCAAGACTCGCAGATCCAGAGCCGGTTTCTGGCTGGGTGGAACACAACTCTCAACACAAACCTGACTTTCGCGGCACGCGCAAGAAAGAATGTGGAGAATTCAAGGTTGTCGCTTGATGCTGTCAAAGCTCGCGTGAAGGGCACGACGTTCAAGCTTGGTGGTCACTCTCGGGGCGATCGTCCAGACGACGCAGAGCTTAGCTCTGACGCCCAGGAGGAGATTGAAAAGGCCGAAGATGAGTTTGTCACACAGACCGAGGAAGCGGTTGGCGTGATGAAGAACGTAGGTCTATCCAATGCACATCGCCGTAAGGAAACTTTGAAGACTGATTCGTCATGCACATGCAGGTCTTGGACACGCCTGAGCCGCTTCGCAACCTCGCCGAGCTGGTTGCAGCTCAGATGGAGTATCACAAGAAGGCATATGAGATCCTGAGTGAACTCGCGCCGGTCCTCGAGACCCTGCAGACGGAGCAAGAAGTAGGCAGTACCTCCAAATTTTCAGCACTCTAAGAAGCATCTGACATTGAGGGCGATTATTAGGCCAGCTACCGAAGAAATCGCGACATGGCTTAAAGAATGCCTAGATGCTCTGCCAAAGCTGTCAAATCTGAAATAAAAAACCTGAACCTTTTGTAATGAGCAATGCATAATAATGTATATGGCTGTGGAAATACTGTCGAACCGATTATGGTGAGATGTTGTGACGAAGCAAATGTTGTTATGGGGCATTCCGTTGCCTAGTACCTAGGATCAATTCTAAAACTTGTACCTTGCACCTTTGAAATTCAATTGCCATCGCGACAATACATTCTCGCAATTAGATGAGGCAAGATCATGACAAAGGAGAAATAAGCGCCAAGAAAATCACAGAGAGGAGGAAGCAAGCAAGCAAGCAAGCCAGCAAATAGCGCTCTTCATGAGTTTTGACAAGCCTCTATACGGGGGTCAGGGCAAATCCCGTTTCCAGTCTTTTCGCAGCCCAAACCAATCGACGTCGGATATCCAGCTCGCTCTGGCAGGTCTTTCAGGAGCAGAGGATGAGGATGATCCGAGGCGGGCAGTGAAACACTTTCCGCACCGGTCGCAAGACTCGGGGGAGGACGAGAAGAAATATCAGTCCGACAACGAGCGGCGACAGCGCAAGTCGTCACGCCGGGATGACGATCGCAAAGGCCATCTGGACGTGATGCTTCGGGCGACTGAGCAATTCCTGGCTCAGGGAGACATCGCGAAAGCTGCCAAAGCCTTTGCAATCGTCCTCCAGCTGCGGCCTCGGGCTCAGCCCATCGACATTCGCCTGCACAATCTCTGGTCCATCGGGTCGGAGATCCTCATGCGGCAGCGCGAGCAGCTGCAAGAGATGGACCGACATCACACAGAGCTGTCGTCCTTCCAGAGCAGATCTGCCCGCGGTGACAGCAATGGAAGACGAGTGGCCGCACCTCGCTGGGGCTCTTCTGCCAACCTGAGTGAGATCAGGTCCTACTACGAGATATTGATCCGTCAGTTTGCATACGATCAAAAGCAACCAAACAAACCGTCGGCACTCGACTTTTGGCTGGCTTTGCTGAGCTGTGAGCTCAGCACCATCTACGCTGAGCATCTACGAAGCATTGCTCGACTGGAGGCTGATATAAGGCTCCAGAATGCGGACTCGGCGCCTGAGGACATTATTACCATGCCAACGTCGCCAGATACAGTTGAACATCTCGCCAGACGGCCCTGCTACGAAGTTGCAGACCCCGGGCCGCAGTACGAAACAAAGGAAGACTGGACCAGAGCTGCGAGGAAAGATGCCATCTCTCAGCGCACACTTACTCGGCTCCGGGATGTCAACCAAAGAATGGAGAAGCTCATGGATCAGCCGCCTTATTCCCACAACGAGCACTTCTTGCGTCTTAGGGAGATCACATCGCTTCTATCAAAAGACCTCACTTCATCAGATCCGAGCAATTCGAGGTTATACGTGGCAACCTGAAATCCACTCGTTAAGAGCCTCTAATCATCTCAACAGGATACTGGTATCATTATAAAAGAGTTTCGCGGATGCACTAGTGTGCGTCATGACAAACTTTGGAGACAGCCGCGACTCCGCTCGAGTTGTTCTATGTTCCCATCATGATATCATGATATCACGGTTTCATTTCTGGGCCCAACGATGCAGCAGCAAGGCCGTGTTTGAGCTGCCAACCACGACGCACCAGTCTCCGCCTGGGCTCCAAGAGACCTGCCTGCCCACGAAATTGGCGGACGATGCCTCCATCTTATGGTGTCGAAGCGGTTCGTGGGTGTCGGCCATGCTGTACTTGGTTGCCCAGGACTCCAACGTCTCTGGGCTAAATTCTCGAGAGTCGGCCTGCTTCACAGTCCCCGGAGCCGACGGGGCTTGGCCTTGACTAGCTGCTGCCCGAGACTTGTTTGTCGAGTCTGCTCTAGACCGCGGGATGACCGTCTTCTGCCAGCTGGGTAGTTGTACGGGCTTGTCCTTGTCCGCGGGATTCGACAGCGTCAACATGATATCGCGATGCGCAGTAAGTCTCTTTAGGTCCCAGAAAAATATGTTACCTGCAGCGTTGCAAAACGCCAGCACCGGATTCTGGTTGGGTACATGATGTAGCCTAAAGCGCATAAAGAACTGAGGGCCGCAGTTGGGAGTGTTGAAGGCCAGCAGCCGTGTATACTGTACCGGGCACTGAGGAGAGGTTACTGGAACGAAAGCGGACCGTGTAAGCCGTCCAGGGTCTTCATAGTTTGTCGGGAGGACATTCTGTGGCGTGGGAGCAGCGCTCTGGCTCGGTGGAGGCCCGTCTGAGGAGAATCCTTCAATCTTCCACAAGACAATGACGTTATCATGGCATGCTCTCGATAGAATGAGATCTCCGAAGAATGAAACGCTATAGTTCCGTTAGCGTGATGCTTCATCGCTTTGCCTAGGACAATGTTACCAATCAACGATGCCGCTGTGCACTGCAGAAGTTGAGAAATGGGGGTAATGGACCTGCAGCGGTGTGTCAATGGGTTCAGTGGGGAGATCGGGAACGGTCCACTGCATTGTAGGGAGCAATGGTTAGCATTTGTGCAGCCCCAAGTAAGGTTGGTAGAATGAAGTCATACCAAGTTGATGATCTGATCGTGGCCACCGGAGAGGAGATAGTTGCCAGTTTCATGGAAGGCCTGAGGAGCAATGTCAGCAGTTCTGTCTGAATTGCGAGAAAAGAGGCTGTCTTACGACGCTGAGCAGGTTCCACGAATGGCCCTCTCCGGCGAGGATACACAAACAAGGCTGGCGCCTGTGTTTCTCTTCCACGCTCCATATCCGCACACTTGTGTCGTCGGAGGCTGAAGCGATGATGTGCGGGTTAACAGGGGATGTAGCTAGATCGTTGACGTCCTTTTGCTTCCAGTGAGTAACGCAACTTCATGAAACCAAGGGTAAAGCGTGCCTGGGGCAAACGAACCCCTCCATGGCCGACAAGACACTAGGATAATGAGACAAACTCTTTAGTTCACTATTCAATCTTTTGGCCTCAAGGTAGAAGTGATGAATACCCACCTCGATCAAATCACCGCTGATCGCGTCATATATCTTGACCTTGGCATCAACGCCGCCGATGCAGATAGAAGGCCTTCCGGTACCGGCATCCATCGTCCACGTACAGCAGCAGCTGGCGGCCTCATCCTAAAGGTCGGTCAGCGAGATCCTCACTCGTGACAGAGAGCCTGACACGCACATCGTCGTCTCTGATGACGTTGATAACATGGCAGGGGTTGGCATCGTCTGGGTCCTTTGTAAGACGGCAGATAATTACCTAGTAACGGGTGTTAGCACACTTGCTTTTCGTTTTCTGAATGGCAAACTTTTCATGATGCCATCTCCCTGCAACTTACATGTTTCTTGCTGATGGCGGCAAAGACAGGCTCATGATCCAGAGGCTGGTAAGGGCAAAATTTGACATCGAAGAACTCTGTGTGTGTGTGTCTCGGGCGGTTAGTATTTCATCACGCATGGCCGCATGACAGCCGCTTTGATGTGAGGATTCAATGCTTGCCTGCAATATTGTCATCACTGCCAAGAAACCGGGTGTCATTCTGCGTTCACCATGAGTGCTGTTAGTGAGCCTTGAGCGACGCGCTCATCCCAAATGGCTGGCACTGACCTCTAGCGAGAAGGAGGTGCGCAGTTTGGGGAGCTCAAAGTTGACATCATCAACGCTCGCCATCCCGGCTGATGAGTAGGACGCGATGCCGTCAACAGGAGAGCATGATATGACAGCCTCAGGGTTCAATCCCTTTGTCTCTTTGAAGGTGTGAAGGTCATGTAGGTAGTTGTAAGTTGAACGAGACCCGCCCCACACCAACTTTGTCAGCAAATGTTATCCCACGAGGGAGGCCGCGATTCGGTTGGTGTTGATCAAGGCCCAACAAGATGACACTCTGGTGCAAGTCGCTCACGATGAAGTCCCAAGAATGACTGCGTACGTAGCACCTGAGAGGTGGCATTTCCGTCTTTGAGCCAGTCAAAGTAAAGTCATGGTAGCCTCGATCCGACCACCAGCAGCTTTCCGGTTGACTCTGCATTTGCCGTTGCGCCGCGAGTCAACTGAACCGACGACCTCTTTTCCTTGAGCCCAGCGACACTATTGACGATATATTTCATGGAAGAAGCGCTGATGCAATGCCTTGATCGCGAGGCATCGGTGATGAAGTATCCCTATAGCTTTATATATATGTATATATACGGTATGCACACACACGCAATGAGATGCTTCTACTGTCCAACAAAGTCCATACGGATAAAAGTCATTTCTCCTCACCTACATAATCACGCCAGGTCTCGATCGAATCGGGCCGTACATCATGCGCCCAACCTACTCCTTTCCATGCCTGCAGACGGCTCAAGTGTCGTAGTGTTGGGCGTCCATGAGGGCAGTTCCACGGCTTGTCCAACTCTCCCATGTGGTTGACAAGAGTATACATCTGGCTTCTCGTCATGGCCTTGCCAATCATGATGCTGCTTCGGCATGCTCTCATTGCAAGCATCTTTCGTACTTTGGATGGACGGGGTATATATGTGGACTCGGAAAATTTGTCGCCCAAGAGAGAGATAAGTTCCTCAAGATCCTCTAGTTTGAACGTCACTTCGCGGCTCAGGGGTAATGATGTCAACTGGCATCGCGCCCCTACAGGGAAGCGTCCTGATGTATCGGTCTCGACTTTGAACCCGTTTGCGTTCAGGGCGGCCGCGTTCTCCAGGATTATCTCTTCTTCGAGGGCCGTCAGCTGAAGCCTCTTGGGGTGGACAAGTCGCTGAGACTGTATCTCAGTGGTCCTCTGGAGCCGCTCATAGTTGTACTTCTCATCAGATGCATGCTGGTCGATGATGAAGAGCTCATCATGCTTCGCTTCAGTGCCAGAGCTCGTGTGGTTGGCGGGTTTCACGGCTATGATAAACCCAAGATTGAACTGGCCGATAATCCTCATTCGAGAAAAGTCCCCCTTTGAGATAATGAGAGGAAGCTTAGACTCTGCGTCGCTGGCGTCGATCCGCTCGACAGTAGAGGTACCTCGCGCCGAAGAATCAGGCATGCGACTCTGACGACGAGGATGTACATCTCGGAGCATTTTGCGGAGCTTTGCCTTGCCTACATGTAGGTTCTGTATCAAACACGTCGTGGCATCTTTGCGTCGTGCAGCTTTCGAGGGCTGTAAAGTCGACTCCAACGGATAGACGCTTGCATTTGCTGCACTAGCCGTAAAACCGCTATTGAGAGATGATATTGTAGGACTGATGCGGCTTACGCCAGGTTCTGTTTCTGTCTCGTGAGGCTGCATGGCATGTACTGATTGCCTGGCAGGAACGTCGTTGTGTGTGGCTTTGATGTTGTTCGGTACAGTTGACGGAGCTTGTGGCATAACTGGCTCAGTCTTTCGGCTGAGGAGTTCGGAAGCAAGTAGAAACGTCTTTGCTTTCCCGGATCTGGTGGATGTTGGAGGCAGCTCTTCAGGCTCCGAAGCTTGTTCTTCCACGTCCGAAGCAATGGAAGGGCTGCTCACTGTTCGCGCAGGCGGTATCGCGTCAGGTACATCGTTGCTGCCTATAGTCACGACGACATCTTCGGGAGCAGCGGATGTGGAAGAATCGGCTAGCTCTGCGTGTCCGGTGAAGATGGAGTTCAATAGTCTGCGAGATGGACCTGAGCCTCTGCTGGCGCTGGAAACGGCTAACGAATCCTCCCGAGAAGGGGCACGATCCATCAGAACAGTCTTCCAACGAGGAGTCTCCGGATCTCTTGTGTCTGAGGATGACCCGTCATCAATCTCAGGAGCCGAGTCCATATCCTCGTCTTCCTCGTCATTATCATCATCCTCCTCCTTGATGCGAGGCTTCTCTAGCTTATCACCTCGCGACCGCTTCATCGCTGACCGTGATGCTGGCGGAGTTCCATCGTCCTCTCTTGATCCCTGGCTGTCTTCCGTAGAATTGGACGTGGTATCTTCAGAACCGCGGGCGGGGTCTACCACAGAAGGAGGCGGGGATTCAGACCTAGACTGAGATGCTGCCTTGTCGAACAGCCGAGCAAGTTGTCCGGGTTTGATGAGTTTGTCATGGGAAGTCTGCACCTTCGTACCCTGAGTAGATGTCGCAATCGATATACTGTCTTCCTGCGTATCAAACAGTTGGGACAAGGAGACGCGGAGTGTGTCGAGGAGGGTATTTTGATCGTGTAATAATATAGACCGCTTATCAGGGCTCACATTCACGTCGTAGAGCATCGTATCCAGCTGGACATCGGCGAAAATGAAAGGCGACTGAGAGTTGTTATACGATCGATAGACCTCGTTGAACACTTTGGCTAGCTGGGGCAGCGAGCAGGGTCGGCCATTGACGAAAAACATTTGGCGATCCGGCGTTTGCCTGCCCTCACCATGGACAGGCTTCGACACATGACCAACAACACGGACATCATGGCTGCTGGGTGTCGCCTTCTCACCGATTCGTAAGTCAGGCCGAGTACCCGACGGTTGGAGTTCCAGGTGCAAATCGAGAGGTATCAACGCCGCCAGCGTTTTGGCGCCGAAAATGTTGATGATGTTGTCACGAGTGCTCGGGTTGCCTTTGGTGGAGAAGAGTATGATGCGCTTGCCCTTTGTCGGTTGCTGAGATACAGAGAATTTCACATTCGTTAAGATGCACGCGTACTGATTAAGTAGAGCAATAACCTTGTGCCATTCTCGCTTGATGTTACGGTCAAGTTCTCGGCGCCGGACGGGGAGGTTGTGGAACAAGTTTTCCACTGTGACGGTGGTCCCTCGCTGGGCGGCAACGACGGTCGTCCCCTCCAGCTCTCCCGACTGGTGGAACGTTAACCGGGAGCCTTTAGGGACATGTTCCTCTAGACATGTTGTCACGGTGAGGATGGATAGAGCGCATAGGGATGCTAAAGCTTCGCCGCGAAATCCGAACGTCTGAAGCGATTCTATGTCAGAATAGGAAGAAAGCTTTGACGTGTGGTGCTTCAGAGCGACAGAGCTGTAGTTGGCGGGTGAGATTCCAGATCCATTGTCTTGAACCTCGATCGAATCGAGGCCTTGGTTCTTGAAACGGACATCTTGACCACTAGTCAGCTAGAAGAAGGCTGGAACAGAGGACACTGCAGCTGTGGTAGAGCGCGCACAAACCTATGATTGTTGCCCCAGAGTCGACGCTGTTCTCAACCAGCTCTTTGACTACAGAACACAGGTCAACAATGACCTGCCCGGATTGAATTTGATGGACCTGGCGAAGACATGTGAGCGAGCTTCTTTAATAACGAGCGAGAGAGCTTACAGTGCGGCCATCAATCTGTTTGATAGTGGCCATATATTCTAGCAAATGATTTCAAAAGCAATGTTCAAGCTGTCGTGTCACTCACCACTGAGATGCGACAATGTCATCAGAGAAGCGCGCGTCAACACTGGAAACCAGAGCGCGTTAGTTAGTGTACCGCGTAAAGTAGTATTATATAATAGTCTAACGCCCACTTATACTACCTACGTTACTACTGTCATTGATGCAGCAAGTTTAAACATTAACCTGCCCATATATTACTATTTATTTAAATTAGATGAACTATATGATTCAGTTAAAAAATTCATCTTAAATACTCTTTGTCTTAAATGATCTAGTGATATATATATCGCTTAGGTGAATAAAAGGCCGTTTCGGGATATGGCATTGGAATTAGTATTAATCATTAGGAGACTGGAGAATACACAGCTCTGAATCTTATGAAATACTCTATCTCTTGAATGGTTAAGTGATATATATATATATATATATATATATATATAGCTTAGATGAATAAGAGGCCGTTTCGGGAAATGATATTGGAATTGGTATTGATAATTGAGAGACTAGAGAATACACAGCTCTGAATCTTATGACGTTTGCCGCTCGAAATATGTCCACTGCCCTGGAGCCGGCTTTTCTTCCAGATCTTCCCAGCTACAGTCAATGTTAGCATTACAAGGGATGCTTGTATGTCCGCAATATCCTGACTAAGGAATGACTTACACTTGCGCCTTTTCCATGGTATCAATCAACTGTAGTTCACCTTCCGCCACCTGGATGACCTCTTCGATGAGACCAGCGCCCAGCTGCTGCTCAAGTTCCTTGACCCTGTCTCGACCGTTAGCCACCTAACAGATACGTGGAGCAAGCTTCGATGAGCCTTACTGTTCAGCAGTCAACTGAGGTTCTTCCTCCCACTCCAGCTTGACGTCGTTGATGTTTTGATGTTCCGACGGATCTGGGATGATGTCGCCGCTAGCCACCGGGCTCTCGCCATTCCATTCCTCGACACGGACGTCTCCGGCTTCATGCGCGATTCCAACAACAAAGACGCGGTTGCCAAACTTGACAGTCCTGGCACCACTGCCATCGGCTCGATCGCTTGCAGACTCGAACTGGTGGGGGTACTTCCGCATCAGCTCCTTGGCCTTGACAGTCCACTCTTCGTACCCGGGGGGGACAATCTTCTCGACGAGGCCCATGCGATGCTTGGTGGTCGCCTCGACGGACTGGCGGTACAGCGAGGTCTCGGGGATGCTTTGCAGTCGGTTGAGCGTGGTGTTGTACAGGTAAAGGAGCGTTGACCGGGGCGTCTTGTGCGTCCACAGCCCCGTGAGGCCGGTCGGAGTCCCGGGCTCCAGGTAGTTGGCGAGAGCTCGAAGGGTCGGCCGCATCTTGGCGAGGGTCAATGGGAAGCCGATGGGAAGCAGTGCGCAATTGACCGTGAGGCTATTGCGCCGCGGGGAGAAGTTTGAACTGTAAGGTAGATCTAGCTTGTCCGGAGTGGGGGCCCACACGCTCCACCCGGCCACCCGGACTCGAGGCTCGATACAGCGGAACAAGACTAAGCAATAGGGAATATGCAAGTGGTAGTATGCTTTTTATTTTATTTGATTCTTAAAAGTCTATAATAACTATATATATTAAACTATTAATAATAGAATACTTTTTTCTTTCTAAGATAATATATCTTGAATCTTATAATATAATAATAACTGACTTATTAATCTAGTTTTATAGAAGATTACAATGGATCTTGTTCATGGGTCGAGAAATAACAGTGTATTGATTACATAATTATACGTCGGATAATCTCGAGGCGTACCGAAAAGCCACTCGATGACGCGCCGCCCTGGTCGGCCTCTAGAATTACAATGCGTCGGGGACGGTAATCCACCATCATCTAGCGCTCGGGGTACAGCTTCATACCTGCAGTTGCGTCGCCAGTCATCTGTCACCAAATAGGACTTGCTCTCTCCAACTTGTCCCCCTCCACCGCCAATCCATCAGAATGGCCCAGGGGTAAGCATCACCAGCGCAATGCACGGGATTCTCTGCTAACGGAGCTGTCGGTTGTTTGTTCATAGATATTCCATTGTCATCGGCCTCCTGGTCATCGTTGCGTTGAGCGCAGCGGCCTGGTTTCTGTCTCCCAAGGGCGAGAACCAAGTGTCAGTCTTCTATCGCGTCTCTCTCCGGAAACCCCATCATGCTGACGTCTCCTCGTGACAGGTTATGGCGGTCCTCTCTGATCCTGGCCATCGTCAGCTGCTATCTCATGTGGCTAATTACTTTCCTCGCCCAACTGCATCCGCTCATCGCCCCGAGACGAAGCAATCTACGAGAGGAGTTCGTGGGGCACAGCATCTAGATCCGACAGCTGGCTACAATCAGCGCACCGCCAGGTGCATGGGACCTATTGGCGTTGGGGATTATACTTTGTTCAGTTCGAGCTGTATCGCTATCGGGATTTTTCTCTGGGAATCGACGTCCTCGCCTGCAAGCTATCCATGATTAAGCGCAGAAAGAGAGCTGCCGACGAAGCTTCGATTCGGTTGGCGTTGCGAAGCCTTGCGGATTCTTCATAATGCAGACCGGCGTTAGTACTGTTATCATTTAATATTGACCTTGTTTTTGTAATATTGGTACGGTTGATATATGCTCATTGGTTGTCGAGATTCACCCTCTATCCTACAGCCAGACGGCCGGCCCAATCTCTCAGATACTTGACCAAGGCCCAAAGAGCCTTGCCGTCTGCAGCAACGCTGCTATCGCCGATGGAATCTACATCACCCAGTCCAGCAGAGATGAGTATCAGCTGGCCCACGGCCCAGCGCACCGATGCGCCGGCAATTGCCAAGAAGCAAGCAACATAATACTTGCAGTCCAGTAGAATGCGCAGGGCTTCTACATTGTTTGCCACAACAGCCCATCCCAGAGACCTGGCTGCAGCGGGCACATCGTATTCCCAGATGACCATCAGTATGGGAAATAGTTTGGTCGACGATGAAACAAGCAGAGCTGTCGACACCGAGTTCGGACGAGCATACCGTGGCATCAGCCCCGTAAGATGCAGCGGCGAGAAGCGGGAGGATGTTAGGAACCGGATGCTCAGGTGGAAGGCGATGGTGGAAAGGGCGCAGAGAACCACTGAGTTTGCGACGTTAGCCGATGCGGGTGGCTGTGTAGAAGGATAGAGAACCTACAGAAAAACATGTACTGGATCACAATCGGCTGCTCAGCGAGGGGTCCCAATTTACTCTCTCCAGGTGTCGACGACGGAATGGTTTGCTTCTCTATGCGCGCCCATGTCAAGTAGACGTCAAACAGCAGAAGCAACACCCCCAAGCGAATAATGGAAGGCTATATCGGACGTTAGCATACAGGCGTGCGGCGACTGCTGGCGGGGGGAGGAAGGGAGGCGGGCACAGCCGACGTACGTCGAAGCGATCGCCATCTCGCATCAGGGTGTTGTGCAGTAAATGGCGATAGACCTATATGGAGACTCGGATATGAGAAGACATGCCACGCATAATAAGGCGAGTTCAAGCAAGTATATACCTGAGGTTTGATGAGGACCAGATCGATAAAGAGAACGACAAAGTCGTGCTCTACATATTTATCGCAAAAGTTGCCGCATTTGCGGCAGACAGTGAGACGAATCAAGTGGCCATTGGACTTGTCATCGGCTCCAGAGTATTGTGTCCATAGAGTTTTGACGGGATACCGGCATTCTATACAGATAGGCATTGAGCTGATGGCAAGACACGTAACCTCGACATGGATCTTCTGTTGTTAGATGCCGTGGCGTATGTCTGCGCATGTGTCGTCTAGTGACTTACATCAAGATGGCGTCCAAGGTGGTCGGTGGTTCGCGGTGGTTGTTGCAATCAGCAAAGGTAAAGTGGGAATGATGCATTACCGATAGGTAGCATGGATATAGGTAGTACCTGTGGTGATACTAATACTAGATCAATGCTAGTACTGTACCTACCTACTAAGGTACCTACCTACCCCTGCCTGAATTCAGTACCTATCGGTTAGCCTACCTGAAGGCTTGGATGTATGTACATAGGTACCTTTGGGAATTGGAAGTCCTGGGAGGTGAAGGGGTTTAACTGCATCTGGGAGTAACGCCCATGCATTTTTCAGTGGATATGCAGTTGGCGGGTTCATTTATCAGGGTCTTGAGAGTATGTACTACTATGCAGAGGTTCCATAACGGCTAGACGACATTGACACATGGCACTAGCAGAAGTCGGACTTGACGTGTTATTGGCGATGGTGCTATGATTATGAATGGCAATCTTCTTTGATGCACAGTTTTCTCGCTCATGTTGTGCGAAGCATGTACAATGCAAGCTCTGTGATGTGACAGTACTACATAGGTAGGTACATAGGTAGGTAGGTAGGTACTAGGCCTCTTGCTGACAATACGTACGAATGTGATAAGATGGCCCGGGTTGCCCTGCATTAGTGCGCAAATGCTGGATTGCTAAATAATAACGCGAAACGCTCCCCCCCAACTTGTCGAGCTGCCTTCCCGCGATGATCCACTTAGCGCTCTGCTGCTCGCGCTGCCCGCTCCCATTGGCCCAGCTGGCCGCGGAATGGGTCGCATTCGGCCGTGTGACTTTCTGCTTTAATTTCCTCCACTACTTTTTCCCAGAAGTTGTTAATACCACTACTTACTGCTATCGCCTTGCTCTGGCCGTGCTGCAGCAACCCATAGCCACCCACAGCTTCGGCCTCACCAAGGGTCTCCCGTCGGCCTTTCCCATGAAGAGGCGCTCGTCCTCTGTCGACGTCGGTGGCAATACCTCCCTCGAGCTGCAAGACCCAGACGCCGAGCCGGAAGACCGCCTCAATGGCCTAGTATCCCGCCACTCGTCGACTCTGGACCGACAGCTGAGCGGCCTCTACTCGAACTCGAACCAGGCGAATGGCCACCAGCAGCACCCTCCCAGCCATGCAGCGATCGCATCCTTCTCACCACTGTCGCTCCCTTCCCCGTCGCCCAGTATGACCACGACCAAGCAGCCGCCCTCAGCAGCGTCGGGGGCGCGCGGTCGCGGCCTTTGGTTCCTGTCGATCCTCTGCTTCTTGGTTGCCACGGCTGGTGTCGGTCTCTTGGTCGCCATTTTCCGGTCTCTCACGACTCGCCAGATCGAGCCCAAGGGATGCCGAATGTCGTACATGCGGCCCTCTTACATCCACTTCTCCGAATTCGACACCGAGCACACCCGCTTCGCGAGCAAATACTCTCTCTACCTCTATCGCGAGCAAGGGATTGATGGCGGTCAGGTTGGTTCAGTTTCCCCCTTCCCGGATAAGCAGACACACCCAAGCTCACACTCCACGGCAACAAGCTGCGCGGTATCCCGGTGCTCTTTATCCCGGGCAATGCCGGAAGCTACAAGCAAGTCCGACCAATCGCTGCAGAGACGGCCAACTACTTTCATGACCATCTTCAGCACGACAGAAGCCAGCTAGAATCCGGCATCAGGAGCCTTGATTTCTTCACAGTCGACTTCAACGAGGACATTACTGCGTTCCATGGCCAGACATTGCTTGATCAAGCCGAATACCTCAACGAGGCCGTCCGCTATATCCTTTCGCTCTACACCGAGCCTCAAAGAGTCTCTCGCGACTCGCATCTCCCGGACCCTACATCAGTACTGATTCTGGGGCATTCCATGGGGGGTGTTGTCGCGAGGGCAATGCTCGTTCAGCCAAACTACCAGGAGAACTCGATCAACACCATCATTACAATGTCAGCACCACATGCGCGACCCCCGGTTACGTTCGACAGCCGAATCGTGCAGATCTACGACGAGATCAACGACTATTGGCGGCGAGCCTATACCCAGAAATGGGCCAGCAACAATCCGCTGTGGCACGTCACACTGGTGTCCATCGCTGGAGGAAATCTGGACACTGTCGTGCCCTCCGACTATGCTAGCATCGAATCGCTCGTGCCCGAAACCCATGGGTTCACCGTTTTCACCTCGGGCATTCCAACAGTCTGGACCAGCATGGACCACCAGGCAATTCTGTGGTGCGACCAGTTTCGACGAGTTCTGGCGCAGACTCTGTATGATATCGTTGACGTCCACCGGGCCTCCCAGACAAAACCGCGGGCTCAAAGGATGAGGGTCTTTAAGAGGCGACTCTTGACTGGCCTGGAACCAATCGCCGAGAAGACTCTGTCTCTGAGCGAACCGACAATACTACTGACCCTGGATGACTCGTCTAGTACGGTAGTGCCGACCGGGGTCCGACTCGTACTGTCGCAACTGGGTTCTGAGGCTGCACCGAGGGCCTATCTCCTCCCCGTGCCGCCTCATGGATCGCTGGAACCAAAGCGCTTCACTTTGTTGACCGATGCTCAACTGAATGCGCCCGTCGACGGCAATCAGCTGCAGGTCCTCCTGTGCAGCGTCGCGAGTGTCGGCCCTATTCTGTCCTCCACAATTGACCTATCGAGAAATGGCACCACGCCGACAAGGTTAGCATGTAAGGATGCTGCGTCCGACACGGTCCTTCTGCCGGCTTCAAGAACGGATATCGAAACCCCATTCTACCTGGACGGACAATCCCGGATAGATCCCTTTTCGTACCTCCAATATGATGCCGAACACCTCTCTGATCATCAATTTGTCGCTGTCATTGATAGAGCAGCGAGCGCCAGGCCCGGCTTCGTTGTCGCGGAATTCAGCGATCACTCGTCCTTTCAGAAAAAAGAAGACGTCGGTCTCGCCCGTCTTCTTACATTTGGGCTATCCCTCCGGCTGCCTGCTGATCGGCCCCTTGCCATGGACATCCATATACCGGTTCTCAAGTCAAGCCTCATAGCTTATGAGATGGTGATCAACAATCAGCCGTGTGTCGGAAAGCCGCTCCTTTTTGCGCCACTCATACGGCAATACATCCAAAGGCCCTACGAATCCAAGTTTTTCGTTAATGCCAGGACGACTGGGATCAGTTTCCATGGTGTTGCTCCATACATGCCGCCTCCGCTCGCATCCTCGGGCGCCGATGGCGTGGCTTTCGGAATCTGGTCTGATCCGACATGTCAAGCCCCCCTGGAGATTGACCTTTATGTCGATGTGCTGGGGAGCCTTGGCAAGCTGTATATGCGATATCGCACAGTCTTTGCAGCTTTCCCTTTGCTCATTGTTACGCTAGTACTCCGAAAGCAGTTCCGTGTCTATGACACGACGGGCACATTCATCTCCTTCTCCGAAGGCCTGGATCTGTCTCTACGACAGTCCATTCCGCTCTTACTTTCTGGCCTCACTCTGCTCTCCCTCTCTCCCAGCGGGGTGACTACCTTTCTCGCCGCACTCGTGGAGAGCAATCAGGCGAATCCGAACCTTTTCTCGAACATCAGCTTTCACAAAAACGACCTCCTCATTGGTACTGACGACCCCTTGTTCATATACCTCGTGCCTTTTATTGGCATTGTATGTATCGGCGTCTGTACTGTGCTTCATTACGTTCTTCTTGCGTTGACAAGAATTCTTGGCGTCGCATATGCCATTTCTACCGCATTGCCTGCGATCAATGGCAGCAAGCCGCCGAGCTCATTGCCAGCCTTTGCGCCGTCCACGCCTCGGCGAAGGGTGATTTCGACTATTATTCTACTATTTCTCGTTTCGACCTTTATTCCGTACCAATTCGCCTACTTGGTCGCCTGTCTTGTACAGATTTTGACTGTCGTTCGCGCGCTGCGCATCTACGTCGTCACCCCGTCAACGGCCAATTCCAACTATTATCATTACTCGCACTCTATTCTCCTGCTGATGATGTGGGTTCTTCCGATTAATCTGCCCATCTTGGCAGTCTGGGTTCGTAACCTCGCTGTTCACTGGCTCACACCCTTTTCTTCCCATCACAATGTGCTGTCCATCATGCCATTCATACTCCTTGTGGAGAATTTGACAACAGGGAAGATGGTGCCGCAGATTACTTGTGGATTTCGCCACATCACGAGCGGGCTTCTTTTCGGGACGGCGCTCTGCGCGGCAATCTATGGCGTTTCACGGGCATATATGCTTCATTACTTGGTTAATGTGGTGGCCGGGTGGCTCGTCATCCTTCACTCTTCTGCAGAGCCATGGTCGCTGATGAACTTTGGTATGTTTTTGGAAGGAGACGCGAATGAGTTGGAAGAAAAGCAGTGATTCGCACTGAATAATGGTATAGATGTTTATATGACAAGCGTTGCTTTTGGTTACCATCGCTTTATACCTTATCGTTAATACACCTGATATAGATAATTGTAACATAACAATATATATAAAATCTTAATTTTCTCACTCAGTTCTTTATTCGAATCCAGGAAGTTTTTATATCTAAATATACTTGTATTGTTTAGAATACTGATTGCAAACATGAACTCAATCAAGTCGTTTGAGAGACGACCTCTGCTTCGACACTTGGCCCAAAGCGGATGCTCAGCCATTACATCATACCTTATCTAGTAACCCGCGGTCCTCGGTACGAGGTACTCGTACGCGTTAAAACTCCCGACTTCATCAGCCTCTCTCTCTTTCAATGCCCAACCGCACAGCCTCGTGGCTGCGCTGGATACTCGGAATGGGCGAGCGCCGAAAACTAGGAGATGTCGCTCTGGACATTGTCCTGTTCGCTGGCATGGTAAACTGATCCTCTGCTCCCCTCCCATTTGCCAGCTGTGCTGACGTTGCCTCACCAGATGACAGCTGGTCTCTATGTTGCTCGCACGTTTCTGAACCCTATCTTGAGCAACCTGGTAGACCCCGACAAAGAGAAGCACGAACAGGCGAAGCGACAGGCGAAAGCTCATCTCGACCGGCTAAGCCGGAGGCGCCATATCGATGGCATTGGCGACAATGGGGCCGATGGGGCCCGAGGCGGCTCGCGGGTCGAGGAGCTGGTGCTGAATGAATATGAGAACCTGATAGCCCTTGAAATGGTCGCGCCCGATGACATTCACGTCGGCTTTGATGGTGAGTTTCGGCAATCGGATTCCGCCATGGAGACGACGTCGCCGCTAATTGGACGTGAATCCCGAATCAGATATCGGAGGCCTGGACAGAATTATCGAAGAACTTAAAGAATCCGTCATATACCCATTAACGATGCCGCATCTCTATCAACATGCCGCTTCGCTGTTGTCCGCGCCATCCGGTGTTCTGCTGTACGGCCCGCCTGGCTGCGGCAAGACAATGCTGGCAAAGGCTTTGGCCAAGGAGAGCGGCGCATCGTTTATCAATCTCCATATATCCACACTTACGGAGAAGTGGTATGGCGATTCCAACAAGATTGTTCGGGCCGTCTTCTCGCTGGCTCGCAAGATGCAGCCTGCCATTGTCTTCATCGACGAGATTGATGCCGTTCTGGGCACGCGGAGGAGCGGTGAGCACGAGGCCAGCGGCATGGTCAAAGCCGAGTAAGTACTCTACAACAGCCCTCCCTGGCTAAAGCTGAAACTCGCGCTTGGTTCAAACCGGCACTGACACGGCTGAAAGGTTCATGACTCTGTGGGACGGATTGACGTCGAGCAACTCTTCCGGCGTCCCAGCGCAGATCGTCGTCCTAGGCGCTACCAATCGTATCCACGACATCGACGAAGCCATTCTCCGACGAATGCCCAAGAAATTTCCCATCACGCTGCCGAGCCTCGAGCAGAGACGACGTATCCTGCAGCTGATCCTCAAGGACGCCAAGGTGGATGCCGAGCACTTTGACCTGGACCACGTCGCCAAGATCACGGCCGGCATGTCGGGGAGCGACATCAAGGAGGCTTGCCGCGACGCTGCCATGGCGCCTGTGCGAGAGTACATGCGGCAACATGGCCGCGACGGCTCCAAGAGGCCGGTCGACCCAGCACAGTTCCGTGGAATCAGGACGGATGACTTCCTCAAACACCCAGGCGACCAATATCTGCTCGAAGTGCTACAGCAGCGCCAGAAGGGGTCTGGTCAAGCACCGGCGAACGATGCGTACGCGGACATTGATGAAACGTTTATCGAGCCCCAAGATTAGCTCTTGACACCGACGCAGCTGTGTCTTACGTACTGCATAGCTTGGAGCAACAAATCTCCCCCTTTTCAAGTTTTCGTGCTGCTTTCTTTTTGGGTCTCGTCTTTTCCAGGTGTAGTGTTTCTTATCGGTTAGCGAATTCGTCATGGAAACTTGGGTCATTGATTCAATGGCAATTCCCGCGACAACACCTCTAAATTGAGTAAATAGTGATGTAGAGTCCTGGTGGGCCTTGTGGGATACACAATATAAATTGGGTTTTAATACATTTGTCGACGTATGACTGGGGGATTCACAGGTTGCCTAGAAACGTGCCGACGTGAAGGGGCTGAGATGCCAAGTATATTTGACATTGCAGATCATGAAAACATGGAGAGTATGAGGCGTAAGGCCATGAAAACTTGATTCCAGATTCGAGTCCTCTTTTTTTCATAAAACCCGCTCAGATGACAGAACACGCACTCTTACACCCAGACGCTCAGTTTGCCTCTTTTCTCATACACTTGAGTCGATCCAACCACGCTGTTTGGATTCTTTGTCTACCGCCACATGCTGAGAGGCTGAGAGACGTTTTCTCACTCCCCAGGGCGGTGCTGCCGTTTAGACATTAACTTTACCCCAAGGGCATGTCTAGATTGATACTGCTCATGTCTCCATTGATGCCAAAGAATTGGAACCTATCATGCAGTGATTAGCAACAACTACCATCAATTCATGTTTCTCTCTCTCTCTCTCTCTCTCCAAGGACTCACCAATCTTCCACATTCAGGGTTGTCGGCGCAGGCTGTCCCTGCGCAGAGCTTGTGCCCCAGCTGTCGGGACTGTTGCTATCCTGCAGTCCGCCGTCGAAGCCAGACTGCCACAGGCTGGACTGCTGCCCCTGAAAGCCGGACATGGGCACCATGCCCGCAGCGCCTTGGGCGGCATTTTGGCCGGAGCCTCTGTACTGGTTGGCCTGCATGCCCGCCGCCATGCCACCGCTCCCGGGCACTTGATTCATGGCGTTCTGGTCGAGAGTCTGGTGTGTTTGTGTGGGCGAGAGGTTAGGGAAAGCCGACAGACTTGAGCTTTCGGGGAAGAGCTGGTCGGGCTGGAAGTTCTCCCATAGAGCTTGCGAGATGTTTGGCGAGTTGCGGGTGACCAGATACAGGTCGGGAGGGGTGGCAGGGAGAGAAAACGAAGGGTTGAAAGGCGTTGCGGGCCTTGTATGAGGCCGCGAGCTGGTGCCGCCCATAAAGGTATCTGCGCCGCCATGGCGAACGGTGGGAGATGCTGCCGACGAGCGTTGGCCGGGATTGGCCGTGCTGTCGTTCCTCGTGGCACTGGGGGTCTGCGGCCTTGACCGTTCGTACGATTCCTGCGGCGTCGGCGTATTGCTCATGAAGTCCATGGCCATGTCGTCGTATTTCCGCTTGGCCGTCTCGTGCCTGTTGTTGAGCTGCTCCAGCTGGGCAACGGTTTGCTGCATCTTCCGATGCCGCTTGCCCCCGGCCTTCTGCAGCCGCTCTTCGAGCACCTTGTTGCCGAGGATGGACTCGAACAGGGTGTAGACCATCTTGCCCACAAGCCAGACGCGGGAGACCTCCTTCATAGCCTGCATGCAGCTGCGCAGCCTATCCTGCGTCACCTGCTGGATGGAGGGCACAGGAGATCGCATCTGATAGACGTGCATGATGAGGGCGGAGAAGAGGCTATACACGATGAAAGCCGGACAGTATCGAAGCTGATTATGTGCCGCTAGGTTCTCGACAATGGACGTAATCATGGCAGCCGCTTGAAAGGCAATGTTCCTTGATGGGTAGGGGGTGTCGTTGGGGAAGCGAGGCGAGCCACTTGGCGGCATATGTGCCCGGTGCAAGAGACACAGAGTCGTGTAGTAGTTGGAGTGGAGGAGCGCGGACCAGAAGTGATGGCGCGGCATCTCCCAGTAGACAATCTTGGGACAGTTCTGCAGCCAGTCGGCCAGGGCCATGTCACTATGCGTCAGGTCGATGGCGTTTCGCTGCCTTCCCTTGGACGCCACCGAGTACTGCTGCGAGAGAACTAAGCCCATAATCTCGCACAGCTTGACGTACTGCAGGAAGAACTGCACATGGATAGGGTCCGGCGGGTACTCGCTGGGTCGGTCAGACTCGTCCTCGATGAAGTCGTCCTCGGTAAGCATCTCGACGTCCGAGTCGTCGAGGTTGATGTGGACTGGACGACCAAGGGCAACGGCTACTGATCGATCGCGCGTGAACAGCGTCCACCAGATGCGCTTCCAGAGGCGCTTGTCAGACTTGCTCAGCTGCGACCGCTCGACAGACCGATGCATGCCCGAGCCCTGGGCAACAATGGTGGCGACACGGCTCCAGTAGAAGACATTCTTGGTGACATCCTCGGGCCCCTCCCAGTACCATCCCATCAGCAGGAGGGACTGCACGATGGTGACGCGGTCGTCCTCGTAGTTGGCGTCGTACAGGGCTTTGGCCCGTTTGTAAAAGGTCAGGGCAGCCGGGGTAGTCGAGCCATTGGCGTCCATGAGCTGCGCGTTCTGGCAGACCCTGGAGCCGGCCAGAAGGACTGCCTGGAGAAGCAGCAGCGACGGTGGATTCTTGGGATCCCGGTACTGCCTCATGAAGCGAGTGCGGTTGATGACGGGCACAATGGGATGGACCCATTGGAAATAAGCATCGATCAACTCATCGCAGAGGGATCGTGGAGGCAGCAGAAAGGCGCCTCGCTGGTGCAGTATATCAATCTCGACGTTATCGAGCTCGGTCAGCCTGGCGCGTGAGCCCCTCACATTCTCGGGCAACGGATAGTGAACCACATCCGCAGAGCCCTGGCGGTCGTGGACGAGGAGGGTGAGGTTGGACGATTCGCCGAGGTACGCAACACGGCCGGCCTCGGTGATGGGGGCGCGCGTGAACTTTGGCTTCATGACCAGGTTGAGATAGGTGCCATTGTCGACCTCCTCCTTCCTGGCCTGGGCTTCCGTAAGAGACGTAGGAGGTGTCCCGTCAGTGGTGTGTGACACTGTCGGAGCCGAAGCTCTGGGCGAGTACGGGGTAGCGGTGCTGCTGTGAGGCGTCTGCGTCTGCCGCGAAGGCTCATCAGTGTTGTCACCGCGGTCGCTGTAGAGAGACGGCACTGGTCAGCATGGAGAAAGGAAGAGCGGCGAAGCTGGACGACGGGCACACACCTGTCGGAATCCTTGTTTGCCTGTGACCCAGCAGCCTGAGTCTTCTTGCGCTTGGGTGTTGGGATACGGCATTCTATCTGGAAGGCGACGCAGTTGGTGCATGGAACCCCCAGGCTAGCTGCGTCGCATCGAACCTAGACACGGCCACGGCCGTCTGGTTAGCATGCAACAGCACAGCACCCCATGAAGAATAGCGCATGGCTTGCGACGGGCGGGCAAACGTACCTTTCGAGCGTGACATGTCTGTTATCGAGTGGTTAGCAGAGGCGGCTACAGGTCAAAGTGATGGGATGCCCAGTCGTAACGTGTGGTCAGCGGACCCGCCGCCTGGGCGAGATGCCTCGGCACGTTGGAGAGGTGGTGATTATGCGACCTGCAGGATGCTATAGTATAATACATGTACATACCTCGCATGCGCGTGACGCTCGTTGCCTAGAAACACCAGACGGGTTAGAAATGTGCATCTGCGCAGCGCTGTCGGCGGTTCATGGCGCTCGTACCTCCTGAAGCTCATCTGGTTGGCGGCGCTCGCGGCGGCTGAAGACGAAGGAGACGTCTTGGATTGCGCCGGCGGCTGCGACTGCGACTGCGACTGCTGCTGCTGCTGCTGCTGCTGTTGCGGAGGACTCACGCGCGACGAGCCGTCGCCAGAAGGCACTTCGCCGTCCATGGTGCTGGCGTGGTCGCTGGAGGCCGCGGACTTTCGGGGGAGTCGGACGAGTTGTTCAGATGGCGCCCGCGGGCCGGAGAACAGAGGCGGAGGAGAGGGGACGATGGAAGGAGGAGGCAGAGCGACCTCCTCCCCGGCACGACGTCGAGATTCAAGGCTCAGCTACGCCGAAAGCACGCCGGACCACGGCAATCAATCAGGGACTCGAAAGGGCGCATCCGACACCAGGAGGAGAGCGCGGTTTGCGGACGCTGTTTTTCGCTGCACAATCGGACAAGAGGTTCAAGCTGGCAAGGCGAGCGCAGGCATGTTGCGGCCTTGGTTCCGACTCCGTCAGTGCCTGGAGGGGACACCCCGTTTCGTTGCGTCGGTGCCGGTGCCTTGCGGTCGGTGCGGTCGGTCCTGTGAGCTGCTTCTTAGCTGTCGCAGGCGAGTGGAATGGCGGAGTGTGTGTTTGTGTGTTGTCGCTGGTTTGGAGATGGCTTCATTCGAAGAGTTGCAGGCCGTTGTTATTAAAGCGAATCAGAAGCAATTCGGCAGCTCAATCGCTGGCAAAACGTGAGACGCGCTGCCTCGGCCGCTGTTACCAAGCACGGCACCTGGTCCTTTGTACTAGAGTGTCCCACCCGCACGGCCAAGACACGGCAGTCTACCTGCAGGTACCGACCGTTGCATCTACATGAGACAAGAATCCGCCAGGGCACAAACAATGCCAATTGCTGTAATAATAGGAGAAAGAGAAGGACGACGAATTATTTTGCATCACCATGGAAATGACTTACGATATGCACAGGCAAGCATATACTCACTTGCCTTGACAACCCGAGTTTCACGCAAAAGGTGCAAGTCAATCTCCCTTCCCTCGACATCATATATAGGTATGTCGACTAAGGAGAGGGCCAAGCAAACCTACTACCTCTAGCAGGTATCGCATCGTCAGTTTGAAGCTTGTATACCTTACTACGCAACTTGTATTCTTTAAGCATGCCCGCATCAACAGCTTAATGATAATCAAAAAGGAAAAAGAAGAAGAAGAAGAAAAAGAAGAAAGGTCTACTGCGTCTCCAATGCTGCTTGATCCTCATGTGTCTCAGTCCTTGTCTACGCGCTCCATTAGCGACTTTATTACTCTGGCATAAAACTTGGATGCCTGATGCCGAGGAAACGTAATTTCCTCGGTGAGATAGTCGGGGAGGACTTCAATCAAATCACTATCGCGGTCCTCATCCAGCTGCGGGCGGTATGTAAACTGCAGCTCCTCGTAGCTTTCGGCCGCTTCCAGGTCTTCCAGTGCGAGCTTGAAATGGAGAGCTGTGGGAAGAATTAGCCTTTGACCCTGACTCAACTGTAAATACCCGGACTGTTGACGACTTACTCCCGTTGCGCCCAGTCTGGATGCAATCAAAGACATCCTCCTTGTCAATGCGGCGCACATCCCTCACGATGAGGCCCGTCAGATCCGCATACAAGTCTTCTTTGACTTGCGCGACTTGTTTGCTTTCCTTTTCGCTTTGCGGCGCCCGGCTCCCCGTCGTAGGTCCCTTGCTGCTCGTTTCGCCATGCCTGGCCGCTGCCAGTTTCGTGTACAGATTCTTCGTCTCGGACCTGGCCTGCGCCAGAGATTGGTTGGCGGCTGACAGCTGGGCGCGCAAATCCTCCACCTCGGCCTCGCTCTGGCCTAGCCGCGACTGCAGCTGCTCTGCTCGCTGGATGGACTTGGATTGCTCGGCCACCTCTTCCTTGAGCTGCGCAATCAACTCGTTGGCCACTGTCGCGCAAAAATGTTAGCGAGTAATGGCTTATTTGGAGACGTCTATATCGCCATCTGTGGTATGGCGCCGCCTTACCTCGAGTGTTTTCCTCGGCTTGCGCCTTGAGTTGTTCAAAGTTTTGTTCGGCTTGCTTCACGCCAATCTCTTGGAGCTTCTGATATTTCTGTTCCAGTTTTGAGTAGCTCTTCCGTAACTCGGAGAGTTGTCGTTGAACGCCGTCGCCATTTGAACTGTGGTCCTCTAGGCCGCTCATCTCTTCGTCGTCTTCGCCATTCTGCGCGTCGCGCTTCTTTGATGTTTTGGGCCGCCCTCTCGCTGGCTTCGGGGCCTTTGACTGTTCCAATGTGCTGCCGTCATCTTCTACGTCGGATGCGACGCTAGAGTCGGAAGAATTTGTGCTCTCGTTCAATGCGCTTCTGATTTTCTGGGCTTGCTTCGAGGTCGTCGACGCGAATTTCGCTTTCGTGCTGGACCCGGATCCGCGAGATCGATGTCGCGTTTTCTTTGACACTTTATTTGCCGCCGCTGGCCGATCGCGCATTATTCCTGCTTTAGTTCTGAGTTGCGCTCGGTGAATATCCGTTACGGCCGTGCTGAGTCCTTGGACGAGAGAGAAAATATGCTGTGTTTCTAGTGTTGCTTTCAAAGATTGAGAAGTCGTTCAAATAATCAATGCGCGTCGACCGGCGGTGATATGGAAATGCCAGTTCGGCGAATAACTGAAGAAGTTGTTGATGGTTCAAGGTACCTCGAAGTTTGGGAGCTGAAGCCGGAACCTCGAGCTGTATCGATAAGAGGTCAAGCAAGGTACATACAGGGGAGTTCCCGCTGAATCACAGTGCGGTGATAGTGCAGATCCACCTTCGATAGCATCAATCATGTATAAGCTCTAGGTAGTACTCAAGAGATGTTTAACACACATACTGCAAGCAGATATCTGAAAGCTTGTCAATGTTTGGAAGCCCCCAATTTGAAGAGACTTGCAAACCCAGAGCTCAGCGCGCATGCTTTTGTATTGGATCCAGCTATATATCAATGGTCCAGAAATGATACTAAGCAACTATAACTAGGTAATAAGCAATCGCCGAGCACTCCATAAGCAGATATAAACCCTTGACAATGCTGTATCAAAATCTATCCTTTATCGCTTTATGCTAGAATCGTCGTTCGAGTTACCCCCAAGGAATTGCGATGGTACCTGTGGATCAAACATGTCAAGGCGCGGTGTGCCCTCGGCGCCAGGCGTAGGTGTCAGCTCTATCAAGTCTCCAAAATCCTGTCCGTTTGTGTTCCTCTGCCGTGGTAAACCGCCGATTAACGGGCCCATGGCCCGTTTCGACCACGCGGTTCGAAGCCACGTCTCGACTGCCGCCGCCGCCTTGTCTAAGCCATTGTTCTGGTTGCTTGGTGACTCTGTGTCTGCCCCCTCTTGAAGATTGCCTTCCACGATTTCGGCGGGTTCGCGACCAAAGCCAAACCGTGCTATCTCTGACCCCATGACCGACATGGACGGCAGCTTGTCCATGTCAAGGCCGGGGAAGTGCTTCTTGGCCCACGAGTTGAGGGGATCCTTGTCCGGACCGGGAGCCCTGACATTTCTGTTGAGAGAGCCAACCCCGCCAGCGCGCCGCATCCACGCCGGCCTCATATCCGGCACCTCGCTGCTTCCGTGACTGCGGAGAGAGTCTCGTCTGTCCGATAACGAGGGTCGATCGCCGGCCGCGCTCTGCCGCCTGGACATGTGCTGATCCATCTGATCCGAGGTGGTCGAGGCGTCCAGGCTTTGCCGCGGCGTGGATGAGAAAGAAACGGTCCTACCAGTCTTTTTCCTTCGTGGCGGGAAATAGCCCATTTTCTGGCGCGCAATTCGTCCAATTTCTACCGGCTCAGGTAGTGAATCGATTTTGACCCATCGTACGTGTGACCATGGCATGGCCTCCTTTTCGATATTTTCCTCCTCTTGTGTAGGCCCTTCGCCTGGTAGACTGAAAAGAGCATCGGATAAAGCTTGTGACGTACCATCGCGAGAGTGAGTCGTGGCATGATTTTGACTGCTCAACGGAGGATCGCATGGTCGCCCTCGCACTTCGCAGGCATCGACTGGAAGGACAACCCATTTCCGGACTTGGATGCTGTCCCTGAACCAGAGGCCATTCGCTTTCCTGAACGCATCCTCCTGGCACTTGTATCGGAGGATAATGCCAGCATACGTATCACTGGGCTGTATCTTGTGGATGTACACCAGGTATTCTTCTGGTTGCGGGTTCTCCGAGGGAACCTCGTCTGAGTTCCGACGCTTGTAGTTTCTTGAGTAATCCAGCGCTCGATTGTTTTCCAAAACGCTGGCCCTTTGGGCGGTTTTCAACGCAGACTCTCGCTCGTCCGATGATCCAGCTGCCACTCGGTTCGCGGCCCTTGGGCCTTGTGAAGCGGGAGAGCTCCCGCGGATGAAGCTCTTGCTGGCAATGCTGCCAAGGTTCGATGGTAGTCGATTCCACAGGGAGGTAGAGGATGCATTTCCGGACTGAGCACCGGTCCGCGATCGAGGCATGTCACCTGGGTTCTCTGCTACCGAAAGGAGCGAGGATGCGAAGCCTTGGACCGATGACCAGCTCTGATGCAAGGAATCTTCAAAAAACTGCCCGAGCCCGGGCGTCCCATCTCTCCCTTTGGTACTGTCACCCCTCCGTGACACATCCCCGTAGCTTCTCGTCGGGTTTCCGTCGCTGATGAGACCGTTGCCGTAGCTGCCATGATCGGGGTTGCGGCGGTTGCGCGACCGGACGGAAGACGCAGCGCCCGCGGTTCCGGCCAGGGGCGCTGCAGAGGATGAGGCTTGGAGTTGGTGCGGCGACGACGCTCCGGGAGCATTGCGGTCGGCCATGGCGACCACCAGACGATGCGAGGGCAGCTCTCTGCAGTCTGTGAGTCTGGCAACGTCCTTCTCACCAGTCACCAGTCACCAGTCACCAGTCGCCAGTCGGGGGCGGCAAGTGGCGAGGCTCCGTGGGCGGTTCGTGGCCTGTAACGCCGTTGCAAGGCCGGGTCATGGGTCTGCGGAGCCCGGGGGGATTCAGCAGTAATTAAACCCCAAGGCCCTCGCGAAGATCGATATCTCGGAGCCGGCTGGCCTCTCTTCCGTCATAGGGAATAGGGGAAAAGAGCGTTGCTGGGCTGCTGGTCCGGGTATGCATTGGAGGTCGTCCAGGTACAGCATGTGTGTCGTCTGCAGCAGCGCAATGGCGGTGGTGAGACGGCCCTTGGCGGTTCGGTTCCCTTTGCAGTGTCGCAGCTCGTGGCCACGCAACTCCGTTTATGCTTGGTGCTAAGATGGAGTTGGTCTGGCACAGGCGCCCCCACCATGAATCCCCTTCCAGGTTCCCAGTTGAGAACGGGGAGGGTACCGATACCTTGCAGGTACATCCAGCCAAGTTTTAGCACGTGCATGTGCCTCCTATAAACGTTGGACATCTGGTGATTGCGATGTATTTTCAGCCTTTCTGTAGACCAACGCTCTGGCTTTATACAGATTGAAGGCCGCTTCTTTGGTAGGTACCTATGTTCAATAAATTTACTAGTAAATTGTAGTGTATACAAGGTGAGCCTCGACTCTACTCTAAGCCCGTCATGCAAGTTGCCAGAGTTGGCACCCAAACACAGTGTCGTCATGAGCTGAAACGGTAATCTGCCCCACCATTCGCCGAGACAGTACAGTGCAAAGCGACAACTTGTTGCACATGCTGCACACGCGAGCCGGTACGAGCAGATACGTACCTACCTACCCACCTTGACCCCAAAAAGAAGTGCCAGGTGGTGCTAGTCCCAGCAGGGCAAAATCAATTAAGAGAGACCCGCGTCGAACGCGGTACAGCTCTGAAGGACGCATCCTTTTCGCGATTTGCCTGCCCAACTTGCCTGTGATCTCAGCACATCTGCCCGCCATGGATTCGTTTATGCTCCAGGACGACGGCGTGCGTGATCGCATTCGCCAGGCCGAGGAGTTCCTGGTTCCCAGTACGGATTCAATCCATCTGTCTTCCTTGCTCAAATCGGGGTTCTGCCCTGGCTAACCCTGTCTGCTGCCCAGATGACCCTCATGCCCGAAGCTATAGATCGGACATCATTTTGATGCTCCGCAAGAACCAGCGTCGCCTCACTGTTAACATCGACCACGTCCGAGATCACAATGCCGAGTTTGCACAGGAGATCCTCCAGAAGCCGTTCGACTACACCCTTGCCTTCAACCATGCCCTCAAGGAGATTGTGCAGACGCTGCCCCAAGCCAGGCCTGACCAGACGGCGAGGGACACCGTCTACTACTGCGCGTGGGCCGGCAACTTTGGCCTCAATGCCTGCAATCCCCGCACGCTGTCCTCGCAGCACTTGAACAACATGGTCTCTGTCGAGGGCATCGTCACCAGATGTTCCTTGATCAGGCCCAAAGTCGTGCGCAGCGTTCACTACAACGAAGCCAAGGACAAGTTCCACTTCCGAGAGTATCAGGACCAGACCATGACCAATGGAGTCACTACTTCTAGCGTCTATCCGCAGGAGGATGACGAGGGAAATCCTCTCACAACAGAGTATGGGTTCTGCACATACCGAGACCACCAGACGATTTCGATCCAAGAGATGCCTGAACGGGCGCCTGCTGGACAGCTTCCTCGAGGCGTGGATGTCATCCTGGACGATGATCTAGTTGACTCGGTGAAGCCTGGTGACAGGATCCAGCTCGTGGGAATCTTCCGAACCCTGGGCAACAGGAACGCCAACCACAACAGCGCACTGTTCAAGACTGTCGTTCTGGCCAACAATGTCGTCCTGCTGTCTTCCAAATCCAACGGCGGAGTAGCCACCGCCTCCATTACCGACACGGACATCCGAAACATCAACAAGGTAGCCAAGAAGAAAGACCTTCTTGGCCTCCTCTCTCAGTCACTTGCTCCTAGCATCTACGGCCACGACTATATCAAAAAGGCCATTCTACTCATGCTCCTGGGAGGTGTGGAAAAGAACCTCGAGAACGGCACCCATCTGAGAGGAGATATCAACATCTTGATGGTTGGCGATCCCTCCACAGCCAAGTCCCAGCTCTTGCGATTCGTGCTCAACACAGCGCCTCTGGCCATCGCCACAACAGGACGCGGCTCCTCGGGCGTCGGTCTGACGGCGGCGGTGACTACCGACAAGGAAACAGGGGAGCGGAAACTGGAGGCTGGTGCCATGGTCATGGCTGATCGAGGAGTTGTCTGCATCGACGAGTTCGACAAGATGTCCGACGTTGACCGTGTGGCCATTCACGAAGTCATGGAACAGCAGACAGTCACCATTGCCAAAGCTGGAATCCACACGTCATTGAATGCCCGATGCTCTGTGATTGCAGCTGCCAATCCCATCTTTGGGCAGTACGATCCTCACAAGGACCCGCACAGGAACATTGCCCTTCCGGACTCCCTGTTGTCTCGATTCGATTTGCTCTTCGTTGTTACCGATGACATCGAGGACGCCAGGGATAGGCAGGTGTCCGAACATGTGCTCCGCATGCACAGGTATCGCCAGGCAGGCACCGAAGAGGGCGCGCCCGTTCGAGAGCAAACCTCCCAGTCACTTGGAGTGTCCGCGAATACACAGACCGGCTCTCAGCGCCCCACGGAGGTTTACGAAAAGTACGATGCGATGCTGCATGCGGGCGTTACCCGAACTTCAGGCCGAGGCGCAAGCAAGAAGACGGAGATTCTCAGCATAGCATTCATGAAGAAGTATATCCAATATGCTAAGCGGATCAAGCCGGTCCTTACTCAAGAAGCCTCAGATCGCATTGCCGATATCTACGTCGGTCTACGAAACGACGAGATCGAGGGGAACCAAAGGCGAACGAGTCCGCTTACAGTCCGTACCCTCGAGACCATTATTCGATTGGCTACTGCTCACGCAAAGTCACGATTGTCTTCTCGGGTCGAGGAGCGAGACGCCATTGCGGCAGAGGGTATCTTGCGGTTCGCTCTGTTCAAGGAGATTGTCGAGGACAGCTCGCGGAGAAAGCGCAGGCGCACACAAGCCGCCGGGCTGGCCTCGTCTAGCGATGAGAGCGGCGAAGATGACAGCGACGACGAAGGCGACGAGGGAAGCCAGCAGACTACCCAGCTCAACGGCACTGCGTCTCGACAGTCAAGTTCACGCATGCAGACCAGGAGTGCACGGCTTAATGGAACAAACGGGTCCACGAGCCAGAGCTCGAGCCGCCAAACCCGGGCAATGGAAGCCCAAATGACGCTGGACAGCAGCTCCCACCCCTCTCACGACATGGTGGACACGCAGAGCTCGTTCGCATCAACACTACCCGCGTCGCAGGTCTTGTCCCAAACCCCCGGAGAAGTCGAAGACGAGGGCCTGGCCAGCGCGGCGAGCAACCTCGAAATTGAGGATGTGGCTCTCACCCCCGAGCGTCTGGCAGCTTTCAGAACAAACCTCGGCCAGCTGCTTAACACCAGCGTATTTGAGGACGATTCGGCGCCTCTTGACGCGGTGATCCAAGCCGTCAATGAGAGAATTGGCGGCCGCGAAGGAGGAGCTTTCAGTAGACCGGAAGCTGTCCAGGCACTGAAGAAGTTGGAGGAGGCAAATCACATCATGTGAGTTTCCGGGCATGTCTTTCCACGTGACAGTGATCTATGGCTAACGAAGTATTGCAAACTAGGTTTGGCGACGGCGATGTCATCTACAAGATTTAAGGATTTAAAAGGATTGAAAGACATTTGCTGGTGTTTGGGGCTGGCATCAAAGGGGGGTCGGGAGGGTCGGAATCTGGGGGATTATACCTACCTACCTAACCAACTAACAAGGCTTCTCATGTGATACGACAGACGTCACGGATTACTAGGTGCTACAAGGATACAACAAGGTGAACCCTCGGGGTGAAATGAATCATGAGCCACAAAGAAGTTGATGGGAATCAAATTAGAAGAATTAAAAAAACGACGTGGTCTATGCGCAATATAATCTCAAAGTCTTTCAAAGTCTCGCCTCAAACTCATGCAGGCGGTCTAACACAACGCTTCCATTCCAAGTCTCCGTTCCGTCGTCTTGTCGTTCCAGTGTCGGCATGCCCACCTGTTGTACGGCGAAGCTGGCCGCAACGGTTCCCCAAACCGCGGCCTCCTCGTAGCTCTTGGCCCGAGCTAAAGCCACGGCCAGGCCTCCGAGAAACGTGTTGCCGCCGCCCGTAGGATCGACGACCTCTTTGCTGTCCTTGAAGTAGGCCGGGATCCATCGTTCGACGCCAGGGTCAACCTCAATTTCGTCGCGAACGACCAGCCCGTCTTCGTCACGGATGAGATCGGCCAGCAGAGCCGTCATGTCGATGTCGGGTCGCAGTCCGCCTCTCGTGTAGTTCTTCTTCCGAGTCGACTTGGACCCCCCGCCAGGACGACGTTTCCTGCCGCCATTCTTGACGACGTAGCAGCCCTTGTGAGCAGCCCGCACAACAATGGCAAAGGACTGCAGGGGCATGCTGTCCAGAAGCTGCTCGCAAGCACGCTCAATGGCCCTCGTCGAAATGTCTCCCGTCACCGGATCCAGGCCGTCATCGCCCATGAAGCCGGCCAGCTCGCTGTGGTTCGGGCTGCAGACGTCCACCAGCGGCAGCGTGTTGGTGAGGTTGAGCAGCTCGTCGGGGGTGCACAGGTCGGGCACGGGCTCCCACACGAAGACGGGCTTGGTATATGTCTCGGGCGGCGAAGCCTCCTTGCGGCGAGCGATGATGCTCGTCACCAGTTCCTGGCAGCGGGTCGGAGAGCAGATGAGGTGGAACGATTTGGACTGCAGCAGGTTGGGCGGCAGATCGGCCGTCGTGATGCGCTTCTTGGGCGTCAGGTACTTGAAGTCGCGCTTGTCACCGGCGCCGCCGTAGCCGTTCCATCCTCGCGTCGTCAGCCGGTCCGGATCGTGGCGCATCACGGCGCCGGTGCCCCAGCTGTCGATGAGCGCCGTGACCGCAGGCGGGAAGTCGGAGCCCTGGTCGACTATCCACCCCACCGTCGACGAGAGCGGCGGGGGCGAGAAGAGGCGGGCGCCGAGAGCGGCGTAGGCGCCGGCGCCGCCGAGGACGTTGCTGCGAGAGGGCGTTGGAGGAGCGAATTCGATATCATCTTGACGACACAAAAGCGCGTTTGGAACACGGTCGGTCAGCCCCAAATGGCTGTTTAGGAGGCTAACAGGGCCGGTAGCGGGGACGCCTCACCGAGTATGAGCATGCCAAAGGTCACAAAGTCAATGCCGGCATGCTGCTCCAGTTCCTGCTCCGACTCCTCGGGGGCGTCCGAGTCTTTGCGAGAGCCCATGGCCAGCTGTGGTGAGAAGAGGTATGAAGGAGTTGAAGATTGGAATTTCCTGGCCGACAGACGTGCGAGAGATCATGGCAAGAGGTGATCTGATGTGCCTGCAGGCAGCTTATCGCGGTACATTGGTGCTAGGTACTGGGTACTGGACAAGCTAACGCAATACAAGTACCTGGGCCGTGAATCATGGCAGAAACTACTGGGTAGTACCTTGATGGTGTCGACCGCCTGCGTCGCCGATACGTGCTGGATAAATCGATCGCGGTACCTTATCTCCTCTATCTGATAAGCTTACCTTACCTACCTACCAGGCGGGCCGGGTTTTTCATCAGAGATTTGGCAAGAGGTAGGCGCTGGCAAGAGCTTCAGTAGTAATTTCCTCAACAGATAAGACTTACCAGAAGCCCAAAACTATTACAGGACCTCTGACGAGCGTCGCTCTCTTCTCAAATCTCTTACCAAAAACACCCCCGGCCTCCTAGGTAGGTAGGAGCTATGGCACCCTAAATGTTTCATGGCAAGCATCAAGAGGAGTGTCGTCAATGCTGTAACTGGAGATACCTCTGGTCGTCAGCATCTGTGGCACAATTTGATTGTAGCTGTTGCTATGAATTCATCAGCGGACCTCAATTGGCCTTAGACGCCGCCAGAATGTCCAGCAAACATCACATACAGAGCAAGAAGTTGGAGACCATCATGTACGACTCCTACAATGCATGACATGTCTTCATGAAGGGGGAAGCAGAAAGAATTTGCTTTATTCCAAATGGGCGCCTTGAAGAAAAAGTCTATGAGAAGCGCCACTGGTATATGTGTATGTAGTATAGCAAACAGTATACAAACCGAACCATTCTCTGATTACAGCTTGGCCTTGGGCGGCTCCAGTGTAGGAGTCAGCAGGTCTCGCATCTCGCCCGCTGCTTCGTTGAGGTAGTAGCTCATTCGGTCACTTCCAAGTCCCTTGGAGACGACGTTGAAGTTGATGCTACAACAATGGTTAGCACGACTCTAAACTGAGCAATGATACACAAGTGTCGGTGCCCTTTCTTACCTGTTCTCATTGATCATGTAGGCAATGCCAAAGCCATCGTCAATGACCTGACTCCAGCCGTAGCCGTTGAAAAACTCTGAACTGAGCTGCGAAGTCGACAGGTACCACGACGAGGAGTAGGTGTACGCGGGGTCCTTGTAGATGGCCGGAAGCTCCTGGCCGGGCTCGAGGAGCTTCTTGAGGCCAAAGAGGTGTCGATCGACACCCTTTCCGTCGGACGCGGCCGTGATGTACTCTAGGTGAGCCGCAATGGCCTTCCGGAAAAGGTCAATCTTTGTCTTGTCGTCAATGGACGGGTCTGCCATCGCCTTGCACCAGGCAACTGATTCGTCAGAAACGCTGCGGCACGTCTCCGTGCGGCCCTGCTGGAAGCGTCGAGTGGCGGCCGATTCATATGTCGGGCGGTTCTTGCCGTACATCTTGGCGTAGGCAAGCTGGATAATCATCTGCACGTATGCATCGGGCGAGCACTTGAACTTCTTGATGAGGCCCTTGCCGTAGCCCTGGTACGCCTGAACAGCCAGCTGATGCTTTCCAATGACGCTGTTGAAGTCTGCGACGGCGCGGTCGATCTCGCTCTGGATCTCGGGCGTGATGTCAAACTTAATGGGCTGAGGGTCGGGCAGGCTCGATCGGATGCTGGGGTCGGAGAAATCAATCTTGTTTCCAAAGATGAGGTCGTTGATGTAGTCGTTCAGGCGGTGCGTAGGCGTTCCATCCATCATGGAGTGCTCACCCATGAAGCCCGAGGTGCCGTTGTCGTTGATGATGAACTGCAGAGGCTTGTCATACCAGCGGTTGGCGCCATCGCCATGCCAGTACTGGTGGGCACGCTCCTCCAGGGTGACGGGAGACGCATCGTCGAGGCAGACGACGAACGAGGCAGACTCAATGGCTTCCAGAGCCTCCTTGTTCTTGGGGCTGGCCGAAACCAGCAGCTCACGCGCATCCGCCCAGATGTCGCGGTTCTCCGAGGTCAGAGCTCCCACGGGAGGCACTCGCTCCGCAACCTGGTAGATGCGGTTGAACTGCTGCTCGAGCTCGGATGTGTTCAGCTGCTTGCCGGCAACCTCGTGGTGGACCTTGAAGAACTGGTTCTTGCGAATGGCAACAAAGTGCTTATTTTCATCGGGGGAGAACTTGACGGGGTAGTCCGCGGGACGGGCTGCCACGCGGCTCGCGTTGAACATCCACTTGTAGCTGTCCATGCAGATGGGCAGCCCCTTCATGTACTCGGGCTCGAGGTTGCCGCTGTCGACCAGCTTCTTGAACTCAAGGACGCTGCTGGTGATGGCGGCGGCTCGCTTGGCCGGGTTGCGTCGTTTAGGATCGTCCCTGTGTGAGTAGAAGTAGCTGACGTATGGCACGACCGGATCGCGGTAGCTCAGGTATGCAGCGTCATTCCACCAATCATACATCCAGTTCTTGATCTTGGGGTCCTTGCTCCTCTCGATGAGCTTCTGCTGAAGCTTGCTACCAACTCCGCCCGGCTTGATGAATTCGGAGACGGCCGCTTTGCTGTGCTCGAGCTCGCTGGCAGAGATGATGGGGTGAAGGCTCTTGAGGTACCGCTTGGCCGTCTCTTCGAGTGTCGGGACTGGAAGGCGGGGGAGCGAGTCTTGAAATCTGAGCATCGGTCCCTTTGACTTGTCCTCGACATAGCCTGTTGCAATAGAAGAGCGCGGTATTAGCACGGGCAACGTCTGGGGAGAAGAGCAGAGAGCCAAGCTGCTTGGTCGACAGAGCAATTGGAGTGAAGCATCATGTCGCCCCTGCTCGAACCAAGAACTTACCAGGAGGCAGCGAGCTGCTGTTTCGTTTAGGCGGCGCCATGGCGATGCGATGGGTCTGTCGTGAGCGGGCGTGTAAGTCAGCAGCAAGTCCAAGGGACGACGGGACAGAGCAGCGTGGAGCGTACAGAAGCGAGCGCAACCCGTCGGAAGGTGTTTGTCGGTCTTTGGGAGCGAATTGCTGACAACATGGCAGGATAGAGGGAGGCAAAGGGGGTTGGCCGAGTCGAGGCTTCGGAGTTGTTTATATCGGCTGCTGGAGATCCGCTCAGATACCGCGGCTCATGGGAACGGGGACTTGGTGCGGGAGACGACTCGATCGATCGAAGCTACCGAACTCGCGCGCGGACAAGGCTACTAACAACAATGATGAATAAGAGAGTCGGGGGTGAACCTGGCCCAACCTGCGTAGACAGAAACAGAGCAGCCTTTCTTTCGCCAGTCAACAACGGGGGAGCGCCGAGGACATAGAAGTAATAAATGGAACCGCCCAGAAACCAGAACCAGGCGCTGCGGCTTCACAAGTGCGAGCAGACGGTCTGTCTGTCCTGTCTGGAGCGACGAGCCAGACCCAGTCCCAGTCCCAGACCGCGGCACATGCCAAATGCGAGAAATGGCGCTTGGCTGGCCGACGCTTACCGCTATCGGAACTTCGGCTCCACTGGACCCCGGATGTATCGAGCCGAGGTTGTTTTTCGCTTGCTGCTGCGTCAATAATCATACCGACCACCACACGAGGGGAACACAATGGTGGGCACTACCTGTATCGATAAACGCTACGGGGCAAGGGATTGATGCGCCAATGCTGAGCCACTGCCCTAGGAGCAACGGAAACTCTGGGCGTCCTTGTTTAGAAGGCGGTACGTCTTGGGTTCTGCTTTGGGGTCAAGCTCAGGGGCTGCCGTCATCACGAGCCGCTGCGCAGGTGACGGAAATTCTGCCGGCAGTACTCCGCAACCGCCAAGCACCACTTGCCGACCGCCTGCCATGCTTGGACGAGGGTTCCGTCAGCCCGCAAACTCAATGATCGTCTTGCCTTGACAAAGGCCACCACGAAAGGCTGGTTTCGAGACCATGAAATGTTCCTTCGTCCGAGCACACTGGCGGTGGTCCGTCCCAGACTAGGGCCTCCATTGTATGAGCGCCATCTTTTGCGTCTTGCAGCCCGTGCAAGCAACAAGAGACTGTGGGGTGATATGGCGCCGGCATTGGAGAAACGGTGGAGAATCCGGGGAGCAATTGAACCAAGGCCGTTGGTGGCGGGTTTTGGGACATCGTCGCCAATGGGAACTGATGTATTATAGTATTTAAAAACACAGTGATCTTTGCGACTCTTGGTAGTCTAGTCTCGCTACAAGATCAAAATCAGACTCCCGTAGCGCCAGGCAAGCTTCCACTTGACGTGGTCAATCATGAACTGAACCGCTCCCGAGTTGATCCAAGCTGCAGCCAGCCAGACGCGAACAAGCATGATGCAGAACTGCAAGGAGGGGCTGACCCGTGTGGTCAAAGGACGGAGCATTCTGCCGAGGGGCCCGCTCCGTGAAGGTTGGTCCATATACAGAAAGTAGGGGATGCACATGACCATGATCAGAGAATAGCTGTATGCCAAGGTCGTGTCGAGGTAGGAGACGACGTCGGCCGGAGGAAACATGCGGAAACCCGTCTGCGTGTTGAGACCGAGCATCCGGAAGATCAGAGTCTCGACCCAGAAACCAGGCATCGCGGCACAGCTCAGGGCGTAGAAGATGTGCCCTAGAAAGGCTTCGATTTGATCGATAGCAGCTAATATGTTGCCGAGCTTCACGGAAATGGGGCGATCCATGATGATGATGAGATCTTCGCGAACAGCAAAAAGCCTGTATTGTATTGTAAGTGAGAATGATTTCAAATGTTGGGAAGGGTACGATGCCTGGCCTTTTAAATCCACGGCATCAGGTTCACATGGTAAGGTAGTTTTTGTGGCAGTCTTGTTTATCCTGAACCGGCCATGTTGAGAAAGCCCACAAACTCTATCCATTACCGAGCACTCTCGCCTGGTGATAGGTAGCTCGACAAGCCAGCTCTTTGAGCGATGGCCTTGATTTTTACGAAACTCTTCTTCAGTACAAGTGAAATGCTATATTATCGCATTTCTCACCAATACAAGATCAAGATGTGTTCCCTGTAATACGACGCACATCGTTGTGATGGACCCTTATCGATTAAGGCAGGATTACGACATGGTAATAAAAGGTACATACTATACCTCGTACTACCCTAAGGTACCTACCTTACATGCTGTGAGGAGGAGAAGCCGGCCCGATATGGCCTAGTGGCTGCATGCAGGTTGGGGGTCCCGCGGACTTGGGGCTTATCATCATCGCGGCTTCATCCAGACTAGTATTATCAAGTCTCCCAAGAGCATCTCGACAGCAAGACTGTCCGACAGTGCAACAGCATCGCTTCTCAGTTCTATACATATCGCGCTGCAGACTCACCATGCAACATCTGCCCTGAATTGCTTCTCGACTCAGGTATTGCAATATTCTTCATATTCTGCTTGTCCTGAATCCTTGCTCAGGGGCGCTACGAGGCAGTCTCATGACCCAACTCTCGCGCCCTTGTTGCGCGTTTGCTCCCCAAGACACGGAGACCATTGCTGCGTCGGAGACACAGGGTGCCGATCGGTGCGGAACTGAAAGACTGATATTCTAGGGGCTCGATCTCTGCTTCTGGAGCTTGTAGCAACCTCTCCCGATCCTCCTCATCCGAAGGTTCTCAGTATGCACCAACAAGACCGAGACGCTCACCGTGGGCGGCTAATCGCCACGGTCGCTGCAACCGTCATCTCCCTGGCTTGCGGCACAAATGTGAGACACCACCACTACCCTCATTCTTTGTCGCCATCTGCAGCATCGCACGGTACAAAGATTCAGTCCTGCTGGCTTCTCCACGATGTCCACGAGGCCGAAGATTGAACATCTTCCTTGTGTTTTCTTCTCCTCTCACACCATGACAACGAAGCTGGGTGAATAGTGTCAACTAACTCCGAACTCGCACCGCAGTATGTCTATTCCGCATGGGCGCCCCAGTTCGCCGAGAGGCTTCGGCTCTCGACCACCGAGAGCAACTTGATCGGCCTCTTCGGCAACCTAGGCATGTACACGCTCGGCATCCCCATCGGCATGTTTGTGGATGAGCGTGGATCGAGGCCTGCTGTTCTCGCCGGCGCCTTTCTCCTGGCCATTGGCTATGCCCCCCTCTGCATCTCCTTTGAGAAAGCCGCGGGCTCGGTCCCTGTGCTCTGCTTCTTCTCCTACCTGACCGGCCTGGGCGGCTGCATGGCCTTTGCAGGTGCTGTCAAGACATCTGCGCTCAACTGGCCGACACATCGAGGCACGGCTACGGCATTTCCTTTGGCGGCTTTCGGACTCAGCGCCTTCTTCTTCTCCTTCGTCGGAGCCGTCTTCTTCCCGGGGAGCACCAGCTCCTTTCTGATGCTGCTGGCATGGGGCGCCTTTGGTCTTACTTTCTCGGGCTACTTCTTCTTGAAGGTATTCCCTCGTGTTTCCTACCAGGAGGTGCCCAGCGAGGCGTCGGAGTCACAACCGCCTGCTCGACAGAGGGCGCGCAGCATGACCGAACCCGGTACGTCATCCAACCCCGATGCCGTAAATCCAAGTCCAGGCACATCCTCCCGGGCCTCTCCCGCATCCGACGCCAGTCGCGCCGCCATCTCCAGTGACACCGAAGATGGTGATGATGCCCTGCTTCATGAGACATTGCCCTTGATACCCGATGTTGTCACCGCCGACATAATTGGGGGCGCTAGTGTTGATCAAGACGTGTCTCATCGAGTAGATATACGAGGATGGAAGCTGTTGTTCTGCCTGGACTTTTGGCAGCTATTCGCCATCATGGCCATCCTCGCTGGAACTGGCCTCATGACTATCAAGTATGTCCTTCACAAGTCGAAGTCTCTGTTGTCCTGCGCAAACTAACCTGCTCTCAGTAATATTGGAAATGATGCCAACGCTCTTTGGAGACATTATAACCCCTCGGTCGATGAGCCGTTTCTGGTCAGCCATCAGCAAATCCACGTGTCCATTCTCTCTGTCTTCAACTTCGTAGGACGACTGCTGAGCGGTAAGCCCATAGCAGCCACCATGCATATCCTCTGTTTTTCAGAAGCAGCTTGACTGACGCATCTCACAGGCATTGGTTCGGATTATCTGGTAAAAAGTCTCCATGCCAGCCGCATCTGGTGCCTCGCCGTCGCTTGTGGCATCTTTCTTCTGGCTCAAGTTTGCGCTCTGCAGATTGAGATGCCTCAAAAACTGGTGTTCGTTTCGGGCCTTTCCGGCTTGGCGTATGGCGGCCTGTTCGGCGTCTTCCCCTCCATCGTGGCGGAGACGTTTGGCATTCGCGGGCTGAGCCAGAACTGGGGATTCATGATGCTGGCGCCCGTTGCCTCTGGAAACGTGTTCAACCTGCTGTATGGAAGGATCTACGATCACCACAGCGTCGTCGAGCCTGATGGCACGAGATCCTGCGACGACGGCATCGCATGTTACCGTACGGCTTATGCGGTTACCTCGACCGCGTGCGCTCTTGGATTGTTCATCACCTTGTACATCATTCACTACCAGAGGGTTCGGTATCTGAAAGCAAAGGACAAGTTAGAGGAGGAAGACTAAATGTCTGTACATGGCTTTGGAGGTATGTACCCAGTATAGAGGTCAGGATGCGGGTTCTGCGGACAGTTACAGCGAGCCCATGATGGGTACACTTTGGATTCATTTAGTCAAGTATTAGATTCTCGATATTGTTAGCAACCAGCACTTTGTTTTTCAGAAACACATTTGTGGGTATTCATTTTGTACGATGAACCTTTCACCTAGACCCAATGCCCATTCTCTTGAGTGTCATCTCGGTTCTAATCTTACTCGAGTGAAAGACTACGGAGTGCTTCTTCTTGAACGAGTGAGCTTTGAAGTTATTCAATTAAGCGCATCTTTTGTTACCGGGGCGCTGCTTATAGAGGCATCTGCAAGTCGGCGCCTAACCGCATATGGGCAGTTATGTCATCATCCTTTCAGGTCACGGGTACCTTCGTCAGTCCTCCGTATCTCGCCCAGGACGCATCATCCCGTTTCAGACCATCTCTGCAAGTCTACGACATCAAGCGCTTTCATCGCGCGTTTGCCAATCTCCCCCCCTTGCACTCCAGGATTGTCTCGATCCTCGACATCATGGGCGCTCTTCTCTCTTTGCCGCTCCTTGCGGTACCGAGCGTGAGCACGGTATGTTCCATCCGCCTTGCGCCATGGAGACGACGCTCGAGCCCTGATAAACACGCCCAGAGCGTCATGTTTGTTGACCTCGACTTGCTGACTTGCGCCGTGTAGATAGTATCTTGCTTTGCCAGCTGCTGCGGCGCGGCAACATGCTCCATGGTCTGTAGCGCATGTGGCAAATGCGGCAACAGGTTCGATTCCGATACAACTCTCGCCATGCCTCTCTGATGCCTCGCTGACAGTTTCGCAGCATAGCTACGCGCATCGCCTACGCTCTACTTCTCCTCGTCAACTCGATCTTAGCATGGATCATGCTCACCGATTGGGCCATAGAGAAGCTCCAGCACCTCGCCCTTGATTACGTCAAAATCAACTGTCCCACGGGACAGTGCTATGGATGGCTCGCCGCTCACCGAATCAACTTTGCCCTCGGGCTTCTACACCTCATCTTCGCCGGTCTCCTTTTTGGCGTCAGATCCTCCAAGAGCCCACGGGCCGCTATACAAAATGGTTATTGGGGACCCAAGATCATTGCTTGGCTGGCACTGATCGTCATGTCTTTTCTCATCCCAGACAAGTTCTTCATGTTCTGGGGTAACTATGTCTCTTTCGCCGCTGCCATGCTCTTCCTCGTCCTCGGTCTCATCCTCCTCGTTGATTTGGCGCACACCTGGGCCGAGTACTGCCTGGCGCAGATTGAGGAGACCGACTCCAGGTTCTGGCGCTTCGTCCTCGTGGGCTCCACGTTGGGCATGTACTTGGCATCGATAGCCATGACGGTGGTCCAGTACATCTTTTTCGCTCAGGGGGGCTGCACAATGAACCAGGCCGCCATCACCGTCAACCTGCTCCTCTGGATCATCATATCCATTGTCTCGATCAACCCCACGGTCCAGGAGTACAACCCCAAGGCAGGCTTGGCCCAGGCTGCAATGGTGGCAGTCTACTGCACCTACCTGACGATGTCAGCTGTCTCCATGGAGCCTGATGATAAAAACTGCAACCCCCTGGTGCGCGCTCAGGGGACAAGGACTACCTCCGTCGTCATCGGAGCCATCGTGACAATGCTCACCGTTGCTTACACCACTACTCGTGCGGCTACCCAAAGCCTTGGACTGGGAGGTAACGGTGACGCCATTCGACTACCGGAAGATGACGAACACGATCTGGTTACGCAGCAGCCTATGGAGCGCCGTGCCATGCGAGCCGAGGTCCTGCGCCGTGCTGTCGAGGAGGGCAGTCTGCCGGCCGATGCGCTATTGTCAGACGACGAGAGCGACGATGGCGCAGACCACCCTCATGACGACGAGAGATCCAGCACCCAGTACAACTACTCAATGTTCCACATCATCTTCTTCCTGGCCACGGCATGGGTGTCGACACTACTCACGCTCAACTACGAAGAGGCCACTCGAGACGGCCAATTCGCCACGGTTGGCCGCACATATGGTGCCAGCTGGGTCAAGATTGTCAGCGCTTGGATCTGCCACGGCATGTATATCTGGACGCTTGTTGCGCCCATTCTGCTTCCCGATCGCTTCGACAATTAATTCCTCGAGGCCATTGGTGCAATTCTGTTGAAGTACCTCCCATGGTCAGGCCGCAAAAGGGGCAGGATGGAAGCAGCGGACCAGGCTGGTCAAGCTCCGCCTGTTGACCGTGTCTGGGTTGTGAATTTTCAAGCGACGGAGTTCAGCTCATCATATTGGATCATTAGGGAATTGTTGGTTTTTGAGTGTCCTTCTGGCATGCGTTATATTAAATTAGATTCTGCTTGTTGCTGGCGACGACCCGGTTGAGGGGCGAGATGTATGTTGCATCCGTATATATAGTATAGGAAACCGTAACGGCGCGAAATAAATTCGATTTTTACTCCAAATGATCCCCCAGGCCCATGCTCAGTTCTTTAGTTCTTTTGCCCTTCCATGGCCCCCGCGGCCTTTGCGGCTGCGCCCTGGTTCACCCCAGCAGCAGCAGCCTCTTTATCGCCTCCGCGATCCTGCAACTTGAGATCCTGCATCTGCTGCTTGTCCTGCTCCCACTGGCTGTTGGCATCGCCAAACTCTTCTTTGATCTGCGCTTCCTTCTTCTTCCTCTCTTCCTCTTCCTTTTCGCGAGCAATCCGTTCTCTTTCCATTTCCTGCAGCGAAACCGTCATTAGCATATTAAGACTACTTCCCACGATATGCATCAAGAAAAGAAGTGTAAAAACACGTACCTCCATATGCTTGATATCGTCAACACTAGGTTCATACAAATGCCAGATAGTATAATGCGGCAGGCCAACAACGGAAAAGTGCATACGCTTCGCCATCTAGAGCAAGCTTTGTCAGTCAAACTCTCCCTGCATCATCTCACGCGCAAAACATGACTCGACTTTACCTTGCCGAAACCCTCCGTCTCAGCGTGCTTCTCAAAGCTAAACGCCGGGAAATGAACGCCCGCGCGGAAGACCTTTGCTTTGGCCAGGATGCTGACACCGCCGACTCCGTCGATTTCCATTTCCATATCAGGGTCGCCGTAGGGGTCGCGCAGGTAGGCAAGATGCGGCCTCCAGGTGGCATACTCGGCGTAGCCTTCGACAATAACGGCGTCTTCGTCCAGAGTATCGGCCAGCGCGAGCGCGGTCTCGGATTCCTGCCACGAGTTCAGATCGTAGGGCTGCTCGCCGCCGAGCCAGTCCGGAAGGGGACGCCAGACATCTACGGGGTTACTGTTAGTATCGTTTGAGAGGGAGGGAGGAGTATCCATTGTCGAGTGCCAGGAAAGAACATACTGGGAACAATGACGTCTTTGTTATGCCTCATCAGATCCTCCAAAATGGTAAAGGGTGCGGTCTCAACATCCACATCACGCCAGTATACCCAAGAATGGTATGGCCGCAGAGCAGCGCTGAGAAGCCAATTGCGCGCCTGAGCCATGAGCTTTCTGCGGCTTGCCTGAGCAGCGAATCCGTGACGGCTTTCCACGTCCTGGTTCACCTTTTGGCCAAAGTCCTTTTCGATAATGGAGATTTCTCCGTATGGCTGCTTGGGGTCCGGATCGGCCTGGATGGCCTCCAAATGCTCCGTCAGGGATTCCAGCGTGTGGTCCTTGGAGTCGGAGACGAGGAACGCGAGATCGATCAGGTTGTGAGGATACGTAAAGTTCTTCAGATGGGAGAAGAACATGGGCAGGTGCTGCTCGGCATCTCGAAGAGGGACGCAGAGGAGGATTCGCTCCTCGCGCTCCCAGCCGCGCGCGGTGCCCTGGACGTTGGAGAGGTCGTAGTATCGGACCGTTTCGAGCTTCAGGTCATCGTATCCAGACAAGATGCCGAGCGAGATGAGGGAGGCGACAGATCGGGGCTGGCCGAACCAGAGGACGAGGACGAGGATGACAACAACTGCTATGCCGACGCGAATCGCTGTCCTCTTGCGTTTCCTGTGGGGAGGGAGCGTGGCTCTTGGCTGGAACCTGCGGGCATCGACTGGTTAGCTGGCAAACGCCGCAATTGGCGTTGGATGGCCATGTTGAAGCCTCAACGAGCGACGAATAATCGCACCTGTGGGGAGAAATCTCGAAGGTGTCGGCGCGCGGATATCCATTCGAAAAGCCGCTGGAGTGATGCCGTGGCATCATGATGGAGGCGCAGGCGTGCTTATGAAAACATCTAAAGAGAAATCCTGCTTTGATCTGTCGCGCTCTTCCCACCTGCGTGACTGAAGCTGGGCGATTGATCGCGGGACTTGGTTGGATTTTCTGTGTGGCAAGGCAAGGCAAGGAGGCAGAGCCCGAGCGAAATGTAACGTGTTGGAGTGCTTTCCTCGTATTGATTCGGAGTGTCCCAGCGAAAGACCCCTTGAATCGTTCTTTGGCGGCCAATCTACGAAAAAGTGCTAGCTCGAATCTGCAACATGGCTCGCAAATATTCACCCAGATAGGCGACGAAAAAAATGGCACCTATTTATAGCTGTAGCCACTGGGATGCTCAGGCAAATCAGGATTAAAAGCATATATTATCTATAGTATATAAATTCACAGAAGCAATAAACATTCACAAGCAAAGAGAATCGCATAGATAAAAAATGATAGTGTTTATTCGAAGATGTCACAGGAAACAGGTAGGCATCAAGTCCCTGTCAGCGATCTCGCTGGCGTTTGCAGCCAGGCATCCAGGTATCTCGTACCTGGACCAGCGTCGGATAAAAGATCTTCAGGCTTCCAAACAGTTGCCTGTCAAGCCTGTCTCAAGTCCCTGCACTGAGAACTCGGGAGCCTTGCTGGTGGGAGTCTCCCATTGTTCCAGGTATGTACTAGGTAGCTGCTACCTGGCACTAGCGCCACCTACGAACCCCTCCAAAGGAGTTTCAGGCAATGATTTAGGCGGTGCCGCCAATCAGCAAGCTATCGCGTACTTAAGCTACTGCTGGGCCAGGAGTTCGTCACTGTCAGTTGCGGCCACGAACAACGTACTCGTAATATCCTCATGCGTTTCTTTCCTCCTGTCCAACATCCACAGCAAGCTGCCGCATAGCCCTCCTAATCGCATTCGCGAACCCTGTTTGTTCAACAACCGCCGCCATGGCTGCCCCAAACAACATGCATAATCTTACAACCCTCATCAAACGGTAGGTAACTTGCAACGTCCGTCATCCCCCCCGATGGTCCTCCAGCTTGGCTGATATTCTGGCAGACTTGAAGCCGCAACATCACGCCTCGAGGACATCGCGTCGTCAACGGAGCTTCCCAAAGATGTCCCCGGCCTCGGACAGACTGCGACGGCCGCATCGGAACCGGCTGCGGCACCACCACCCCCGGCACTCGAGGAGCCTCAGGAGGCGCTGCCCGAATCGATAGAGGATTTCGACAATTTCCTCAACACCAGCCTCGACAAGTATGTCAAGCTCAGCAACCAGCTGGGAGGGGCTGTTGCCCAGCAAGTCTGTTTCTTCCTCCTCAACAACCTGACACGACAAAAACAGGAGAGCTAACCTTGTTGCGCTACTATGCAGGCCGCCGAGGTTCTCAGGGGCTTTCAGGAACAGCGCAAGTTCCTGCTCATCGCTTCCAAGGCCGCGAAGCCGTCGACCTCTGGATCAAGCCTAGTCGTCTACCAGAACCTGCTGAAGCCCATCACGGAAGCACTCATGGCCGCGACCGAGATCAAGGAGAACAACCGACCCGATCCAATGTATAGCAACTTGAGCGCTGTTGCGGATGGAATCATGGTTCTGGGCTGGGTGACCATTGACCGCCGCCCTTACAACCATGTTGAAGAGTCCTTGAGCGCTGCGCAGTTCTTTGGCAACAGGGTGCTCAAGGAGCAGAAGGACAAGTATGCGCCTACAATTTCCGGGCCAGGAATGATGAACAAGCAGCTAACCATGTTGTGTGCTACAGCGATCCCAGACAGGTGGAGTGGGTGCAAGCATTCTACCAGATCTTCCATGACCTCGGCGACTACATCAAGCAGCATCACCCGTCAGGCGTGGCCTGGAACCCCCGAGGAGAGCCTGCCGAAGAAGTTGCGAAATCGCTGGATTCCAGCAAAGAAACACAGCGGCCCGCTGCCATTGCCGGCCCTTCTGCCGGCGGCGCTCCCCCGCCCCCTCCCCCGCCTCCGCCGCCGGGCCCGGCTCCTGTGCTGGACATTGGATCTGATTCCGCAAAGCCATCTGCGGGAGCGCCTGCTGGGGGCTTCGGGGCCGTGTTTTCCGAGCTCAACCGAGGTGAGGATGTCACCAAGGGCCTGCGTAAGGTGGACAGGTCGGAGATGACGCACAAGAACCCGGCTCTGCGCGCAGGATCCACAGTCTCGGACGGCGCCAGAGCAAAGAGCCCCGTTCCCGGCAAGAAGCCCAAGCCTGAGAGCATGAGGGCCAAGAAGCCCGCCAGGAAGGTTCTCGAGGCCAACAAGTGGACTGTGGTATGTAAACCTGGCAACGGACGCGGCGAGATTGTTGTGCGCTGACTCAAGAACCGCAGGAAAACTTTGAGAAAGAGGCACAGCCCGTGGAGATTGAGGCATCCATCACCCACTCCGTGCTGATCAGCAGGTGCAACAACACCACGGTCATTATCAAGGGCAAGGCGAACCAAGTCACTGTCGAGAACTCGACGCGGCTGTCTCTCGTTGTCGACTCTCTCGTCTCCACGGTGGACGTGGTCAAGGCGAACAACTTTGCGCTCCAGGTGCTCGGCACGGTGCCAACCGTCATGCTCGACCAGGTCGACAGCGCGCAGGTCTACCTCAGCAAAGAGAGCACAACCACCAAGCTCTTCACCAGCAAGAGCGACGGTATCAACCTGAACATCCTGGCCGGACCTGACGACGACTACAAGGAGGTGCCGCTGCCTTCTCAGATCTGCTCGTACTACAGCGAGGAAAAGGGCGAGTTGGTGAGCGAGATTGTGGCCCATGCCGGCTAAGAGGAGCAACTGGCGGGAACCATACCTACCTACTACTTACGGACAGTCGGTATATACGGTCCATATACATACAACCACTATATTCAGGTAGAGATTAGAATTGAATATGGCTACATGGATTTACACAACAAGCAGCGCAATTGATATTTGATTTGCTTTAACCAATCATTATGCGAGAGCACAAACAGCATCGTTCAACCTCTAGTACTTCACTGCTTTAGCGCTGATACCCCAGTAAGAAGCTCCAGCTGGTTGACGAGATCCAGTGCTGACTCACTCCTCCGCAATTCAACTCTGGTACGTATTGATAGGGACCTCGGGTAAAGCGCGGCAGAATGCCCACCCCCAGAAAAAATGCCGATGGTGTGATTTGTGCTTGCGCGGGTCGGGCTGCCGGTATCGCAGCGCTATGCCGGATGGAGCAACAACAGCCCCTCTACTTGTCATTCTCCAGATGATTGCGACTTGACCGGTTGGGCCAATTGCCTCCCCCACAGCGCCGATGCTGGCTTGCTTGTTGCTGAAGCATCCTGATCTTGTTTGACTTTTGCCTCGTCGATTCATCCTCTTCCTCTCCATCTCGCTTTATTTCGAAAAGAGTGCAACCCTCGAATCATCAATTGCATTCCCATCTTCCATCGGCTTGGCGACTTGTTGGAGTCCTCTTCATACATAACCCATCAACCCCAATTCTCTCATACTGGGCATTGCTGTCGGGCTGTACGGGAAACTGCACAGTGTATGCTGTAGTCGTCAAACGAACCACCACAGCTGGGCAGACGACATTGCAGTCCTCTCTACCCGATTTATCCTATCCTTTATACTCATATATCCTCCAACATGGCAGCCCCCTTTGCCGACGGCCAACCCGGCAAGTCTGCCAGTCCCCTCCAGCGTCTCGACCTCGACGGCCACAACCTCCCACCATCACCCGCGCCATCGAGCCCTCGAAACGGACGGCGTCGCTATGCTCTCGCGACAGAGCTTGTCTATACCGAGGGCAAAGACCAGTATGGCGCTTCCAGCACGCCCATCTACCAGTCTGCGACGTTCAAGCAGACCTCGGCCAGCGGTGGCCAGCAGGAGTACGACTATACGAGATCCGGCAACCCTACACGCACTCACCTCGAGCGTCACCTGGCCAAGATTATGAATGCCAACAGGGCGCTGGCTGTCAGCTCCGGAATGGGCGCCCTCGACGTCATCTCGCGACTCCTGCGTCCTGGCGACGAGGTCATCACGGGCGACGACCTCTACGGCGGCACGCACCGATTGCTCACATATCTGGCGACCAACCAGCAGATTGTCGTGCACCACGTTGACACGACAGATGTCAATGCGGTAAAGGAGCGCTTGTCAGAAAAGACGACCATGGTTCTTCTCGAGACCCCTACAAATCCTCTCATCAAGATCGTGGATATCCCATCAATCGCGCGGCTAGCGCACGAGGTCAACGAAAAGGCGCTCGTGGTGGTTGACAACACGATGCTCTCCCCCATGCTCTTCAACCCTCTCGACGTCGGTGCGGACATTGTGTATGAGTCGGGAACCAAATACCTGTCTGGCCACCACGACATCATGGCCGGTGTGATTGCCTGCAACGATGCGGCAATTGGCGACAAACTATACTTTACAATCAACTCAACGGGCTGCGGGCTGTCGCCCAACGACTCCTTCCTCCTTATGAGGGGAGTGAAGACGCTGGCCATCCGCATGGAAAAGCAGCAGGCCAATGCCCAAGCAATTGCCGAGTTCCTGGAAGCACATGGGTTCCGAGTGCGATACCCTGGTCTCAAGTCTCACCCGCAGTATGACCTGCATTGGGCTACTGCGAGAGGAGCCGGAGCGGTTTTGTCGTTTGAGACGGGTGACCCGGCCATCTCGCAGCGCATCGTCGAGGCGACCCGTCTGTGGACCATCAGCGTCAGCTTTGGGTGCGTCAACAGCCTGATTAGCATGCCTTGCCAGATGAGCCACGCCAGCATCGACGCCAAGACGCGGGCAGAACGGCAGATGCCCGAGGATATTATCCGGCTGTGTGTCGGTATCGAAGATGCCAGCGATTTGATAGACGACTTGTCCCGTGCTGTAGGTTTCCCTCTCATGCCCGCCCGGTCAGCTCCCTCTTGCGTTGCCAGATGACTAACTTTTTGTCTTGTTTAGCTTGTTCAAGCTGGTGCTGTGACGGTGACTCTGGATGGGTTCCATGCCGTTGAGCCGTCTCCATCGCCATGAGCGCTGTAGTTTGGACGAAGTAAAAGGGGGACGGCAAAGAGTGACGGGTTTTGCATTTGCTGCGTGGGCGGGCCTACAATGTAACCACAGCTTTGGTTCGCAATTGTGCGATCAGGGGTCATCATTTTCACATCATACCAAGGTACTTGAGATTTGGGAGAGCTTCCAGACGATTTAAAACCAAACAAAAAAGAGAAGCAGAAGACATACAGGAGATACTTAGGCTTCATGAATGGCAGAGGGCCTGGCAACAGCTAGTATTAGGAGTGTAGCCTTGCTTCATCAACATGATGACAACCTTGAGTACCTTGCCTTAGAAGACGCAAGACTGCAGAGATGCAGAGATGTAGAGATGCAAAGATGCAGACACCACCGGACTCCCCCCTGTCAATTCAACATCCTGATGTTGCATTCTCTCTGACAAGACGAGACGTCACCCACCGGCGCTGAGCAGGTTTTCCTGCCGCCGCTCATTATTAGCGCGCCGCATTCCAGTCGCATCACACCCCCAGCAAGAGCGAGTAGAGAAGACGAGCCCAAGGGCGGGAGGTAAAATTAGAGCTGCGAATTAAGGCACGAATAGCGCCGAGGCAGCCAACCGACGGGGTGGGCGCTAAAGGCATGCTTGTTTGTGTTAAGCTCTTTTGTTTCTTTCCAGGGGTGGTGACTGACTCTCCAGGGGGGGAGAGGGTTGGTTTCGAAGCAATTGGCTTGGATTTCTTCTCAGCCCAGCCAACTGCGTCGTATTGTATTTCAGCGCTTCGTAATCCTCGATGATTGCTTTGCTCGTATCATGCAACGGCGAGGGGGGGAGGACAAACAAATGAGGATATGCAGAACAAGAAACGTTGGATGGGTGAGAAAGTTGCTTTTTTGTTTCGTTCTACTGTGGCTCCCCTGAGAGGCCCATACTCTTGCTTGTTTTGTGCTCGACTCTTAATACTGTATCGAGATACCTAGGTATCCAGGTAAGCAGGACGAGTCAGGCAACCTGCTCGGCGATCTGGTACGAGTATTACTGTACATACATACAAGAGTCAATTGGCGCTCTCGTCTCCGTTTGATTAACCGCCTTCCAAGAGGGCTTGCGGTTGAGCAGCAGATGTTGACGACTCGAGGTACAGTATTCATGGCTTGAGGCTGACATGTCCACACGTTCTAGAAGCCCAAGGCCTGACTGCTGATGATGCGATGAGATTTTACGACCTTGTGCCCTATGTGTTACCTCAACAAACCAATTCAGCAGCAAGAGAAGCATCTTGCCGTCGGCGACTCCGCTCATTCACCATCACGGCATGCAAACTCTCATACTGTTCATGCTGTGTCCCGTGTGCCGTTTGTTGCGTCTCTCGCATCAATCACCCCTCCAGAGCAATATCTACTGTATTACTTTCTATGATTTCCATCTTCTTCCTGCTCCATCCACTCGCAGCCAAAAGCTGAGCCCGTGTGTACCATCCCCACCTCAGCGAGCATGGGTAATAGTATCGAGCGGCAGACACTCTCTCCATCATCCATGCATGCAGATGGAGCGCTCGTACTGTACATGATCCTTACAGGGACAAAGTGCGAGCAGCCTGACGCTGGGTCTTTGCACCACGGACTCTCGTTGGACGGTTCTGTTCCGTGAAGCCGGCCACCGACATTTTGCAGGGCCGGAACCCTGGAAATGCTGGCCCTCACTCACCAGTTGGCTGTCAGCTCTGCGTTTACTATTGCTCCTCGCCCGCCAGCCAGCCTCTTCTGTTTTCCGGCATTGGCCCCCCCGCGGCAACAAGATCCGTCGAATCCCAGCTGACGCCTCCCTGAGTGGTTGCCAGTCGAGACTATTCCCAGGCCCGGCATCTGCAGAGATGCTCTCCCCGGAGCCTGGCAAAAGGCCGTCGGGGGCCATCTGGAGCATGCCACGTCGTCGAGGGCCCCCCCATCGACCCCCCCCCCGGGCGTGAAGCCCTGCGCCACGACGCTCGTGAAGCCAGAGAAGATTTATTAGAAGCGCCCGCTGCCCAGAGCTGAAGCATGCAGGGTTATCAGAGACAGACGATCTCTAGCTCCTCTTCTGCGTCTTGTTCATTACTTGTACTAGTAGCAGCCCTCCCACGCCCCCAGGCGCCAAGCTGCCCTCCGCATAACATCGTGCTGCCTTGCTGTTGCTAGTCGATATTGCAGGTAGCCGCTCCTGTCCGGGCTCCCTCCCTCCCTCCCACACACCCTTTTGGGGGCACCTGGAGCTTGCGTAGCATCAGGTTTCAGACAGGAGAGAGAGACACGGGCCCCACTTGAATCAGAGCTCGCTTCGATCCGGCTTGATTCGACTGATTCAGGCTCGCTGCGATGGCTAGCCCAAGTCATCGCCGCCTCGGCTCGCAGCATCACGGCCAGCAGCGAAGCCTCGTCAACAACGACGACCTCGAGCCCGGCCCAGCTTACGACAAGACCTACGGCTCTCGTGATCGAGAGCGAGAGCGAGATCGAGACAGAGACAGAGACAGAGACAGAGACCGACAACGCCAGCGTGATCGAGAGCGAGAGCGGAATCGTGACCGTGATAGAGAGCGTCATCGAGAGCGAGAGCGCGATTCTGATCGAGAGCAGCTCCCACGCCCGTCCACCAGCCACGAGTACAAGCGCACCCGCTGGCGAAGCGAAAAAGGCCACGGCATGAAGCTCTTCAGAATCAAGTCCTCCGGCGAGAGCGGCCGCGGCGGCATTCACCCATGGCACTTTTTGCGCATCTGCTTCCGCTCCTCTTGCAAGGCCAGCGCCGCCATCAATGTGCTCTGGCCCATTGTTCCCGTCGCATTGGCTGTTCGATGTAAGTTGTTTGACCTCTCCGTGAAGCTGTCAAGAATCCTTTGCGATGCAGCAAGGGCACCGCATGCCCGGGAATTGGTGCCATGTTCGATTGCTTCAATGCGGCCAGACTTGCTGATTGTCGACTATCAAAATCCGCTTTGCCTTGCGTCTAGACACCCTGCCTGAAGATCACACCCTCATCTTCATTCTCTCCTACATCGCCATGGCACCCTGTGCCAACCTCATCGGATTCGCTGGTCAAGAGTTTGCCCGTAAAGTCCCCCATGTCTTTGGCGTGCTCATCGAGACGACGGTTGGCTCCATTGTCGAAATCATCCTCTTCATGGTCCTGCTCTCCATGAACCAATTCCTCGTCATCAAAGCCGCCATCCTCGGTTCGATTCTGGCCACCATGCTGCTCTGTCTGGGCTTCTGCTTCTTCGTCGGAGGCATCTATCACGAAGAGCAGACCTTTAGCGATACCATCAGTGAGGCCGGTAGCGGTTTGCTCCTTACGGCGTATGTATCTCCCCCCAACCCGCCTCGTCGAGCGACGGGAGATGGATTCTCCTTCCATGCTTGACTTTGATGTACACCAGCTTACCAGTGATCGCAGCGGTGTCGGGCTGGCTATTCCCACCGTCTTCTCCCACGGCCTCCCTGACGACAGCACGCTGACGACCGCGGAAATTTCTCATAAGACACTGAGCATCTCGCGCATCGTCTCCGTCCTCCTCATCATCGCGTACTGCGTCTATGTCTTCTTCCAGGCCCGAACCCACCATGGTATCTACCACGCCATCTTCGAGATGGATGAGGAGCGCGACCGTGACGGCCATAAGGACGCCGCCAAGGACAAGCTCACCATGACCGAGTGCATCATCGCATTGACCATCGCCGTTACCCTCGTCACCTTGATTGCCATCACCCTCGTGTTGCAGATTGAACACATCATCGAAAAGTCAAAGGTGTCCGATGCCTTCATGGGTCTTATCCTGGTTCCGCTGGTTGAAAAGTTCGCCGAGCACATCACGGCCATTGACGAAGCGTGGGACAACCAGATGAACTTTGCCCTGTCTCACGTCTTGGGCGCCACCCTTCAGACCGCCCTCTTCAACGCGCCCCTGGTCGTCATTGTCGCTTGGGGCCGCGGCAAGCTCCTGGATCTGGAGTTTGGCATCTTCGACCTGGTCATGCTCATCCTTGCCATCTTGACCGTCGGTCGCTTCTTGCAGGATCAGAAGAGCAACTACCTTGAGGGCTTCCTCCTGGTGACGCTGTACGTGGCCGTCGCGGTTTCTGCCTTTTACTATCCCAACCCGCCGCATGCTGAGGGTGCCGGTGCTGTGGGTGGTGAGGGTGACCACGGAGGCGCTGTGCCTGGCGAAGGCGGCCACGAGAGATTCCGCATCTTTTAACACCGAACAACCCGTTGCAGTGCCAGCATGGCGGTAACTGCGCCTCGTTGCTCGCAGCTCATGCTCTACACTCGTGAGAGCCTCAGAAGGGGTGATGGGGGAAGACACCGGTCTAAATGATTATGTATATGCATAGCGGGAAGGAAAGGAAGTTTGGGAGCATGTTGGAATCATTTGAGTGAGAGAGTAGTGTATTCTCTCAGTCTCTCTGTTTACACTGGCAAAAGCAATGGAATGTTGAGCAATGAGTACTGTCTGCAATAATAGATTGTATGTCTCGAAGCAATGAACTGGATAACGTGCTTTGTATCAGTAGAAGTGAGACCTTCGGCTCTACTAGATAAGTATTTTAGCACTCTTACCCTAGGTCACGTCATTTCCCATGGGCTTTTATGTGTCAACTGCATCCAATTGCTATCGGCGGTAGAAAATTTATCTTGAAAGCATGACTGTGCATGATTGGAGCAACACTGTTGAATCAATTGCTTGATACTCGTCAACCTGAGAGCCTCTGCCCTTTCTCGCGATGAGCTCTGAATCATCTTGAACTGCTCAATGTGAAATGTCGACTTGATTGGCTCGCACATCCCTTCCTCTAGGTAGGTACCTTTTAACACTGGCCCTGTGCTCTGTAGTACCTATCGGTCGGCCTAGGCCAAGCCCCGTTTCGCCGTCTCGTTGTTCCGGTAGCCGCCCATCAGAAAATCAGTGCAGCAGCAGTAACAACAGCCTCCGACCCTGGCCATGCACTCCATTCCACATCCACATCTATAGCCTTGACCTTAGCCTTGCGTCAATCTTGTGGCGCAAAAGGACCCCCAAAGCTTTGGTCTTTTGTCTCTCTTTCGCCTTTTACATACTTCCTTGACCGATCGCGCAACAACGAAGAAAACGAACCTCCACGACTTCTGTCCGACTCGCTCCCTCGGACGCACCGATGCTGCTCGCTCGACTCGCTCAACCACAGTGCCGTGTTCCAGGGCAGTACATCCCTTAGCAGTGCAGCGCCGCGCTCGAATGTAGTGCCTCGACCACACTCCGCTGTCGCAATCCAGACTCACCCCGCGGGTTGCCATGGACCGCGCAAGGAAGCGTACGTCTTGACGCTGCTCTTTGCGATCCTGCCGACGGCTTTGGATATGGGAGCTAACGGTGGATTCTAGGCGAGCTTCGGGCTCTGAATGAAAAGGCCTGGGAGGGCGACAAAGGTATGGAGGAGAATGGACATATATATATACATACATATATATCCATATGTCTATATATGCTTCGAAAAATCATGCTCGGTTGCTCATCTAATGGCTAACCCCTCCACCTCAAGGGCTCATCAACGTCAGCAGCTCGCTTGACTCGTCGCTCAAGAAGAACACAGCCTTCATCAAGCGTCTCCGGACCGCCATCAGCGCCGCAACCCTCTCGACGTTCCTGCAAGAGATTCGAACCCTGAGCCTGCACAAGTACCTATCCGAGATCATTTCCGCCTGCTATGAGGGCCTCTGTCGCCTCAAGACCCCCGGGGAAATTGATGCCGCCGTCGAGATCGTGAGCGCTCTCCACCAACGCTTCGGCCCTGCCGAGTTTACCGAGTATCTCACCTGGCTGCTCGGCAAGGGCATGGCCACACCCGACAAGAGCGTTCTCAAGACCTTGGCTGCCGAAGTGCGCGAGAAGGAGGAAAAGGAGCGCATCACCCGCCAGCGTGCTCTCCTCAGGGTCATTACCGAGCTCTGGCTCGTCGGCGTGCTACGGACCCTGGACGATGCCACCAAGCCAGACGATGCCACCAAAGGCGCTACCGGCAAGTCAGTCGAGCTCAAGACTCGAAGCAACTCCAAGCCTGGCGCCTCTGCAGACCCGTTCCCGCTCGAGGTTTTGAAAGATTTACTCGGCCACGACAGGGAGCACGCCAACCTGCCGCTGCTCGTCATCTTCGTCAAGGCTTTCAGCTGGGATATCTTGGGAGTTCGAACTACTACGCCTGAAAGCCGCAAGTCTGGAGAAGACGAAGCCTCGTCGACCCCTGAAGAGACCGCAGAATCCTCCGTCGAAGATCAACCGTTTACTCCCCCCGAACTGGCCGAAAAATTCAAGGAAGTCCTCAAGAAATACTTTGACGATGTCGCCAATCACATTGTGCGCGATCAAAAGTCGATTCACTCCCAAGCCCGGCGTAACGCTGAGGCCTATGTCAAGTCCGGAGAAGTCTTTGAAGATAGGCAAGCAAACTACGAGAAGCAAGTCAAGGCTCAGGATAGGCTTGTTGCCAATGCTCAGGTCATAGCCGATGTTATTGGCGCCGAAATGCCCAACCTGAAAGACTCCAACGATCCTCTTGCAGCCTCAAACAGCACCATCGGCTTGGTCAAGACTGGCGACTACCTACGATCCATGGCTGATGGTGCCGGCATCTGGGAAGATGAAGACGAACGCCGCTTCTACGAAAATCTGGTGGACCTCAAAGGAAAGGTCCCGGCCATCCTTCTCGAGGACGGCAAGAAGAAGAAGCAGGAGACTGAGGAGCAGAATGCCAAGAAGCCCGAATCTAGTACCGAGGGCGCAGAAGCTGCAAAAGCCCCAGAGCCAATTGACGATCAGTCAATGGCCATTGCGAACAAGACCATTGGAGCCCAGGTAGATGCCCTTTTGGCTCGCCTGCCCGACCTGACCAACAAGGAGATCATCGACCAGACGGCCATTGACTTTTGCTTTCTCAACTCCAAGGCGTCGCGCAACCGACTGGTCAAGGCGCTGACGGAGGTCCCAAAGGGACGGAGCGATTTGCTGCCGTCCTGGGCCCGTCTGGTTGCCACACTGGGCAGATATATGCCCGATGTCCCCAAGGGATTAGTCGACTATCTCGATGCCGAGTTTCGTAGCTTGCAGCGCCGCAAGGAAAAGGATTTTCTGGGCCAGGTCCGACTCAGCAACATTCGATACCTGGCAGAGCTCACCAAGTTTGGAGTAGTCCCTGAGCACGTTGTTTTCCACTGCCTCAAGGTCAGCCTCGACGACTTTTCTCGCATGAACATTGAGATTTTGTGCAACTTGATCGAAAATTGTGGCCGCTATCTTCTCAGGAACCCTGAAACAGCGCCGAGAATGGCCAGTTTTCTGGAGACGCTGCAGCGGAAGAAGTCTGTGCAGCATATTGGCCAGCCGGAGAGGATGCTCATTGACAACGCCGTGTACTTCGTTGATCCTCCAGAACGGCCTGCAATTGAGCAGAAAGAAAGGACTCCGATGGAGCTCTTTATCCGGAAGCTGATATATGGCGACATGACTAAACGGAATTATAGCAAGATTCTTAAGCAGATTCGCAGACTTCACTGGGAAGAAGCAGAGGTAAGCGCTCCTTGCTTTTTTTCCGTCAAGGCCTTGCTACATTCGTGTGTTGCAAATTTTGTATGTCCTCTGTTTCCGCTAACAGATGTCATTATCAACCTCAGGTCGTTGCCATTCTCGAAAAGGTCTTTTCTAAGCCTGGCAAAGTGAAATATGGAAACATCCATCTCCTCGGCATTCTCCTGAGCGCTCTCTACCGTCATCACCCACACTTTGTTGTCAGAGTCGTGGATAACGTTGTAGAGTCCATTTGCTTCGGGCTAGAGCAGAACGACTTCAGGTTCTCCCAGCGCCGCGTTGCCGAGGTCAAATACCTTGGCGAGCTCTACAACTACCGCATGTTGGAGCATCCGGTCATCTTTGACACCATGTACAAGATTTTGCTGTTTGGTTATAGTGAGACTCACCACCCTTTTATCCTTGCTGCAGGCAAACCGACCACAGCTTCTCGTCCCCGATTCTAACATTTTTGCAGGCGGACCACCTGTTCTGGGCAAGTATAACGCTTTTGATCCGCCGGACGACTTCTTCCGGATTCGCCTCATTTCCATCATGCTGGAAACCTGTGGCATGTTTTTCAACCGAGGTGCTGCTGGGAAGAAGCTCGACTACTTCCTCTCATTCTTCCAGGTGAGTCAAGTCAAGTCAATTGGGATGTGCTGCAATCGCGTGTGAGGCTAACCCATCACGTCGTCAGTATTACGTCCATACCAAAGCGCCCCTGCCGCTGGACATTGAGTTTCTTGTGCATGATACCTTTGCACTGACGAGGCCTCAATGGAAGTTTGTAGACGACATCGAGGAGGCGACCAAGGCTTTCCAGCTTGCCATTGCTCAGGACCAGAAGACTGCGGGAGTGGACAAAGTTGCGGAAGCAGACGACGCTACAAGTGGCGCCTCTTCCGAGGATGACAACGGTGATATGGATGACGTAGAAGCCGATGGCGACGGTGACGATGAAAGCGCTTCCGAGGAAGAAGAGGAAGCGGAGGTACGGCATAGCACCGCCCTCGAACAAGCCTCGTTGGACAGTTTTACTAACACTACAAATTTGACAGGATGGTGACAATGTCTCTGCCCACGAAAGCGAATACGAAGAGGCCATCATCGTCACCAGACAAGAAGAAGCTGTGGATCCCGAAGACGAAGCCGAGTTTGAACGAGAATACGCAAAGATGATGGCAGAGAGCCTTGAATCACGCAAGTTTGAGCGCAAACAGCTGTTTGACGTGCCGCTGCCCGTGCGGTCGAGAAACCGCGAACCGTCCATGTCTACCGGCACTGGGGAGACGCAGCAGAATGGCAAAATGGCATTCTCACTGATGACGAAAAGAGGCAACCGGCAACAGGTATGTTACTGTCACTGCCCCCTTGTTTATACAACCTTCTCTGGTGGTGAAAGCTGACGCAGCCATCAGACTCGGACCGTCGAACTACCTTCGGACTCGACATTTGCAATCGCTATGAAGACACAGCAGCAAGCAGAGAGAGAAGAACAGCAGCGAATCAAGAACCTTGTTCTGAACTATGACCTCCAACAGAGTGATGACCAAGACGGTGAGTGCACCAGCCTACCCTCTCGACCCTGGCCCTTCTTGCACGTAAACTCACTAACATGCCTGATGGTAGTCAATGACCGGCCGACAACGTTCTACCACAACCGGGTAGACAAACCGAACAAGGGCCAGCGTGTTCGGAAGCTGCAGCTCAGCGATGTGGATTGGTAGAAGCGTAGTGTCATAATGTCAGCCGATCAATAGGGCTGCACACGATGCTACTAGATCTGGACATCAGACAACAGCGAGCCTTCCCATTATAGGTACACAAGCCTATAGTCGCTTGGGAGGAAGCAAGATGCTGTAAGTTGTTGGGTGCAGTCATTGCATCTCAGCAGCAAGCACGCCGCCCCCTGACGATGAGAGCGATATGCGCAACTCAGCAGGGAAGATGGAAGCATGACTTGCCTTGCTATATGCATACCCTCTGGCACGAGACGCCGGAGTCCATTTGGTCAGGCCAATGCATTCGGACTGGAGGTATTTTTCTCGTACGGTTTGCCACTGCAGAAGGAAGAAGCAACGGCTGTTTTGCAACAATCACCGACGATTTTACCTTCAAGGCTATTGATGCAATCTACTGCCGGAATTTGGGAAATGAAAAATGCCAGCAAAGGAGATGATTTGAGTGGTAGGACTGGCACGGTGGTTATTGAGGGGGCTTGGTGAGGGCAAGTTGCGTGATAGACACCGCGGTGGCACCAGGGTCATCAGAAGCAGAAGATGATGTACCTTGCATGGACCACACATCACCACCTAGGTAGCAAGGTAGTTGTTGTATCCCGATCCTGAACGTTGTGGGAGGAGGGGATCAAATGCAAGGGGCTGGGGACTGCAAACCCTTGAATGGGAAGCAAGCACCTGTGCGATTCTGGCCATTTACAAGCATTCGTTGCCACCACATACTGATCATCGGAGGTGGCTCGCTTGGGGCTGGCAAGCAAGAACAAGCAAATAATATCGTGTTGCTATTTATGTTGACATGGGCCCGAGCTCTGCATTAGGGAGCGGTGCTACGAAGAAAATAGAGGGTATCATCGTGCTGCTCCCACCAATGCGAGATGGTGATCCGTACGCTGCAGTTCGTATCGCCGGTTAGACCCAACCGCCGCCTGCGTCTCAATAGGTAGTCAGAGTAATTTTCTCATCCATTATCTCTCTCTCTCTCTCTCTCTTTGTGGATATGTATATGTAGGAGGTGTTCTGTTATTTACCCTCTCTTCGTCTCCCGCGATACACACTTTCTTGCTTCTTTTGCATTCTCTCTCCATCCACGTTCCACGTTCCACCGAGCACCGAGACACACCAAAAGACACTGACTGAAGCCAGCAGCTGCTGCCGCCCAATCAGGCGTGTCGTGCTGGTGCATGCATGCAAGGTTCCATATTTGGGCCGTCATGACGAGTGCAAAAGCGCAGCTGTGCCGGCCGACCGACCTGCTGTATTTGTTCAAAAGCCCTTCTGGGGGTCTTACATCCATGAGGTATCTTAAGAAGGTAGATGCCAACAACTGAACACACACGCAAACACACACGCACGCACACCACACGTCTTGACACAGCTCACACACTCACGCACAGCCTTGGGTGAAAGGGGTTTAAGAGAGAGAAAAAGTAAAAAAAGGTGGCATCGATTCCTTTTTATGTCACGACATCCAATAATTGGGGAGAGACAAACTGGAAAGGACGTCTTTTTTTTGCCCGTTAGCCGCGACGACCAAATCGAGCAGGTGGTGGTGCGCATCTCTTGCCGCTTCCCTCTCAAACGGCAGATTGAGTGTGTGTGTGCAAAGGCGATTCTTTTTCTTCTTCTTTTCTATCTCTTCTTCCTTCTTGTTCATCTTTGGGTTGCGGTTTTGCAATTTGCACTTTTGCACTTCTGCTTCCTTCTACTTTTTGCTTCTGCTCGATAACTTGCCGTGTAAAACCGGACTTGCTGCTGCCTTTGGAGCAAGAGACGACGGGGGGGATGTTGTTGGACGTTGACAGTTGAGCCGGATCTACTGCTTTTCCCTCCTTCTCCCCTCCTCCTCCTCCCTCTGCTTCTTCATCTTCATTCTCAGCCTTCTTGTCCTCCGTCTTCCGTTTGGCGCCAAGGGCGCTGCTGTGCGATTTCAGATTTTGTCACAGCCGCAGCGTGACACGACAGATACCGGCTCTATTGCTTTCATCTCACATTGCGAGGCTTTTGTACCTGATTGGTTCCAAGACCCAATCATTTCTATTCGATATCTCGCATTGTTCTGATTGATTTGTTCTGCTTTCTCTATTTTTTCTTTTTCGGGGGATAGACTGTGTCACCTGTGTTTGGCGTGTATTCGTGTTTCGGTTATGGGAGGATTCACAGCAGTCATATATCGATTTACATCTCGCCGCCTCCCTAGGTGGTGTTGAGATTAACGGCCCATCTTCACCACTAGCAACTACATCTCTCTCGAATTTACTGGTTATACTTGGAAGGGCGACATGGCGATCGATCCTGATAGGCCGGAATGGCCCGTCAAAGATGTAAGTTGACCCTCGCTTGTCTATGGCTTCAAGATAGGTACCGAATGGCTGGCTAATTGAAGCTTGGTGACGGCATCTTAGATTGTTTACACTGCCATCGTTGGAGTGGTCATGATAATGGCGCTGCTAGAATGGTTTCTCTGGCTCGCTGCGTTCCTCTATTGCTTGTACAAGGCATTTCGAAAGGCTGAACATTGGTCCATCAATGTCCTCTGCGTCGTTGTTGGCATAGCATTTGTAGCCTTCAGGTACGTCTCCCGCTTATACGGCTAACGCTGTGGGATTTGCTTGCCGATGCTCATCTTTCGCAGGGCCATCTTCCTCCCTATCATGATAGTGACGCTACCACTTCCGAGCCAAGTCACCAAGTACTGGCCAGAGGATGTCGTCTCCGTTCTCCAGTGGTTCGCCTTTTGGAGCTTTTCCATTCTCTTGACGGTGCCCTGGCTGTTCTGCGTCTACCAACTCGTCACCAATCAGCTCGGACGCACAAAGCGCATGAAGCAGGTGCTCGACGACGTTACCGCCCCCAAAGTCGTGATTGTCATGCCATGCTACAAGGAAGAGCCTGATGTGCTCATCACGGCCATCAACTCGGTGGTCGACTGCGATTATCCCGCCGCTTGCATCCACGTCTTCCTCTCCTTTGACGGAGATCAGGAGGACGAGCTCTACCTCAACACGATCGAGAAGCTGGGCGTTCCTCTGACCATGGAGTCTTACCCGACGAGCATCGATGTCACATACAAGGAGGCCCGCATCACGATATCACGATTCCCCCATGGTGGCAAGAGACACTGCCAGAAGTCGACGTTCAAGCTCATTGACCGAGTGTACGAGCAATACCTCAAGATGAACGACAATCTCTTCATCCTCTTCATCGACTCGGACTGCATACTGGACAAAGTCTGCCTGCAAAACTTTGTATATGACATGGAGCTAAGTCCCGGCAATTCTAGAAACATGCTGGCAATGACTGGCGTCATCACGTCGACCACGCGGAAGCACAGCATCATCACGCTGCTCCAGGACATTGAATACATCCACGGCCAGCTGTTCGAGCGCACAGTGGAATCCGGCTGCGGTTCGGTGACGTGCCTCCCCGGCGCCCTCACCATGCTTCGCTTTTCCGCGTTCAGGAGGATGGCCAAGTATTATTTCGCCGACAAGGCGGAGCAGTGCGAGGACCTGTTTGACTTTGCAAAGTGCCACCTGGGGGAGGACCGATGGCTCACCCACCTCTTCATGATTGGCGCAAAGCAGCGATATCAGATCCAGATGTGCACGTCGGCATTCTGCAAAACCGAAGCTGTGCAGACCTACCGCTCCCTTATTAAGCAGCGGAGGCGATGGTTTCTCGGCTTCATCACCAACGAGGTGTGCATGCTCACAGACTGGCGGTTGTGGAAACGGTATCCGCTGCTGGTCATTGTCCGCTTCATGCAGAACACGATCCGAACGACTGCGCTTCTCTTTTTTATTATGGTCCTGGCGTTGGTATCGACGGTTGCAACAGTCAAGGACCTGCCGGTTGGCTTCATTGGCGTCTCGCTCGGGCTCAACTGGCTGCTCATGATCTACTTTGGGGCCAAGCTCCGACGGTTCAAGATATGGCTGTACCCGCTCATGTTTGTCCTGAACCCCTTCTTCAACTGGTACTACATGGTGTACGGCATATTCACCGCTGGCCAGAGGACCTGGGGAGGGCCGAGGGCCGACGCTGCCGCTGCCGATACCAACACTACCGCAAGGGAAGCGGTTGAGAAGGCTGAGAGGCAGGGAGACGATCTCAATGTGATTCCAGAGAGTTTTATTCCTGCACAAGAGGCACGAAGGGCGGCCTCAGCCAAGGGCATGTCTCGGGGCACGACGCTCGGTCATACGAGGAGCGTTGTCAGGCCCCCTGACCGCATTGACGGCATGTTCTCGGCACGGCGAAAGACGGCAGCCGGACTCTATACGCATTACGATGATTCAGACGGCGGCATCGACACGCCGCCCATCTCCTCCACCACCCCGTCCTCCTCGCGAGACGCACTGCAGAGGGGTTCGTTTGAAGGCATCGTGGTTAGCGGACCCGAGACCATTGTTTCCGTGGATCAGTTCATGGGAGAGGAAGATCGCCGAAAGTATGCCATAGCCCAGCGGGCGCAGTTTCAGCGAGGCACGGGAACGAGCAAGGAGTCGCCAGACGTTGAGCTCATTGACTTGTCGTCTGATCCATAAGATGGTGGCTTGGCGTGGCTTGGCCGAGGTGGCTTTCACGTAATCGAAGACTGTAGAAAGCGGGCGAGGTTGACTTCTGTCGACAACACCGCAAGGCCTGTTGTAGGGGTAGAATCATCTGAACAAGACATCATTGCATACCTATACGTAAAGACAAGCCCTGTCATTCTGTAAGTTTCCCTTTGGTTCTTCCGTGTCTTTGATGCCGTGAAAGAATTGGCCACGAAAGGCGAAAATGAATGATGGACGTTGTGTCTAGAATGGACCAACTTGTGCCAGTTGGCCACGACAGGCATAAAATATGCTGATGCTATGCTGATGATATTGTTTGGTCGTTGTGGAAGAGGCAAGAAATGACCTGTCTGTTGGCGATGTCAACGCCACCACTCTTTGCTGTCAACGGGCTTCTCAACGCCACCACAAGGCGAGAATCACAAGCAGGCGGTCAGGCAGCCAGCCCTGCAGTCGGTTCACTGCGGTTTTGGCTCTCCTTGGCGGGGTAAATCGAGGGGCATCAGAGCTGACGAGGGCCATTTGGCGGGGTAATTTGTTGCTTGTCTACCGCTGAGACCAAACGGTAGGTAAGAGTAATAGTAGTATTCGGTAGGTCTGTCTGGACTAGATCGTGGTAGTATGTAGTATGCCTCAGATGAGGTGAGCTTTCAGGCAGGGCAGCTATAAGGTAGAGCCATTGTTAGGTGACATGAGATCAGATATCTAGGTAGAACCTGGTTAGAGACCAGACGGAGGACAACATCCGCACCTATCAATCCATGCGCGCTGTGCCATACCTAAGGTATCTAAAGGGACAACACGTAGCATCATCCCCTGAAGATTCATTCGGCAACGTCATGTATTCGCTGCAGTAGCGCCTCTCATTGGCTGCGCGTCTGCTGCTGCGTAACGCTGGCTGCTGTCCAATAGTAAATTTCCTTACCTATCACATTCTGCTGCCCTGCTCTGCTCTGCTCTGCTCTGTTCTGCTCTGTTCTGCAGTGCTACTAGGCTGCAGGCTGCTTGTGCGTTGGCGCTGCCTCAGCTTTTTCTGCCTGTCCGTCCTTTCCACCTTTTCTCGTGGAATCTGGAAAATTCTGCAGCTTTCCACGGGGTACCTCCCGCGGCCATGGCGGGGCAGCCGTCGCAGGTACTCCCCCGCGGTGGTTTGGCGGGCGCCGCTACTTGTCGCAGCGAATGCCCCGCGGCGGCTCCAGGTACCGGCCCTTGGCAATGGGCGCCCAGGTATTTGAGCAGGCGGCAGAACGCTGAATTTTTCTTCATTAGTACCTGATCTCACCGCCCAGCGCCAAAATACTACTACTAAGTAACGAGTACCTACACGCCTACACAGCATTTGCTTGCCTGAGTCAATCCACACAATCCACATCCAGTTCCATCCCACTCCAGTCTATACCTTAGTATCGCAACCGCCACTTATCGGAGCCGCCTCTCTGCTACCTTGCCTTACCTTGCCTTACCTAGGACTTTTTTTTTCCCCTTCTCTTTTTTTTGCTACTGATTTTCTCAACCTTCACCTTCCACCCAAAACAAAACAAAATCCAGGCTTGATATCTTCCTGCCTCGATCTCCTCCACGTATCCGATCTTTTCGTCTTTTTCCTCCTACTTTTTTTTTTCTCCATTTTCGCTTTTTCCCCCCCTCGTCGAAGTCTTCTTTCCTTGACTTGGGCCCCTCACTTGCGACCCAAGTGCGGCAGAATCGAGATACCAAAAAAAAAAGAAAGACAGGGGATATACAGCAGCATCGCGATAAGCCAGAACAGACATCATGTCTTCCGTCGTCGGTAAGTCCCCCGCTGCCGCTGCGTCCATTCTCATGCTTATTTCTATACTGCGTCGCTCTCTACGTATAGACCGAGAAGCATCAACTTCCAAACAAGACGTGCTCTCATGCTGACCTGAACCCCTCCCTGCCGCGCAGGTGTCGATTTCGGAACCCTCAAGACGGTGATTGCAGTCGCCAGGAATCGTGGTGTCGATGTGGTGAGTAGGAGAACCCAGTCGACGAATCCCCCCCGAAGAGTTTGAGGGCTCTTGACTGACCAGAGATGTCTACCATTCTAGATCACCAATGAAGTGTCCAACAGAGCAACACCGTACGTCCAGCCCATCCCAGCCTTGCAATCCGCATTCTCCACATCACATGAGAATTCAGACTTTTGCTAACACTGCTGCCATCTACAGTTCTTTGGTAGGATTCGGCCCCAAGTCACGCTACCTCGGTGAGGCCGCCAAGACCCAGGAGATTTCCAACCTCAAGAACACCGTCAACTGCCTCAAGCGCCTCGCCGGCCGCTCCTACAACGACCCCGACATCCAGGTCGAGCAGCAATATGTCACTGCACCCCTCGTCGACGTCAACGGCCAGGTTGGCGCCGAGGTCAACTATCTCGGCAACACCGAGAGGTTCTCGGCCACTCAGCTGGTTGCCATGTACCTGAGCAAGATCAAGCAGACCACCGCCAACGAGCTCAAGGCCCCCGTCGCCGACCTCTGCTTGAGCGTCCCTGCCTGGTTCACGGACGCGCAGCGCAGAGCCCTGCTCGACGCCTCTGAGATTGCGGGCCTCAAGGTCCTCCGCCTCATGAACGACACCACCGCCGCCGCCCTCGGTTGGGGTATCACCAAGCTCGACCTGCCCGGCCCCGAGGAGAAGCCCCGCCGCGTTTGCTTCATCGACATTGGCCACAGCAACTACACCTGCTCCATTGTCGAGTTCAAGAAGGGCGAGCTCGCCGTCAAGGCTACCGCTTGGGACCGCAACTTTGGTGGCCGCGACTTCGACAAGGCCCTCGTCGACCACTTGGCCAAGGAGTTCAAGGGCAAGTACAAGGTGGACATCCACACCCACGGCAGAGCCATGGCCCGTACCATTGCGGCCGCCGAGAAGACGAAGAAGATCCTCTCCGCCAACCAGCAGGCCCCCGTCAACATCGAGTCCCTGATGAACGATGTCGATGCCTCGGCCATGGTGACCCGCCAGGAGTTCGAGGCCATGGTTGAGCCTCTGCTGGCCCGCGTCCACGTGCCCCTCGAGCAGGCCCTTGCCCAGGCCAAGCTCTCCAAGGATGACATCGACGTTGTCGAGATTGTCGGTGGTGGCTCGCGAGTCCCCATCCTCAAGGAGCGCATCCAGGACTTCTTTGGCAAGCCCCTTTCCTACACCATGAACGCTGACGAGGCCATTGCTCGAGGCTGTGCCTTCAGCTGCGCCATTCTCTCCCCGGCTTTCCGCGTCCGTGACTTCACCGTCCAGGACATCATCAGCTACCCCATCGAGTTCGGATGGGAGAAGGCTCCCGATATCCCTGACGAGGACACCAGCCTGACCGTCTTCAACAAGGGCGGCGTCCTGCCCTCGACCAAGATCCTCACCTTCTACCGCAAACAGCCGTTTGACCTCGAGGCCCGCTACGCAAACGTTGAAGAGCTTCCTGGCAAAACGAACCCTTGGATTGGCCGCTTCTCCGTGAAGGGCGTCAAAGCCGACGGCAAGGAAGACTTCATGATTTGCAAGCTCAAGGCCCGAGTCAACATCCACGGCGTGTTGAACGTGGAGAACGGATACTATGTCGAGGACCAGGAGGTCGAGGAGGAGGTCAAGGACGACGACAAGAAGGACGATGACAAGAAGGATGCAGATGTGAGTTCTCCGGATATCTTTACTGGGTCTAAAAACGCAAGTTTGGCTGACACCACTTGTGATCAGGCTATGGATACTGACGTCAAGGACGACGGCGCCCGAAAGGTCCGAAAGGTCAAGAAGCAGGTCCGAAAGGGCGATTTGCCCATTGCCAGCGGCACCTCATCACTTGACGCCAACACAAAGAGCGCCCTGATCGAGAAGGAGTCTTCCATGGTCATGGAGGACAAGCTGGTCGCCGACACCGAGGAGAAGAAGAACGAGCTCGAGGCCTACATCTACGATCTCCGTGCCAAGCTTGACGAGCAGTACGCCGAGCTCGCCAGCGAGGACGAGAAGGCCGCCATCCGAGCCAAGCTCGAGTCTACAGAGGTATGTCATATTTTTTTTTTTACTGCATGCGATCCATCTAGGCGGAACAAGACTGCTTACGCACAATCTTTAGGACTGGCTGTATGACGAAGGTGACGATGCCACTAAGGGTGTCTACATTGCCAAGATGGACGAGATCCGGGCTCTCGCCGGACCCGTCGTTCAGCGGTACTTTGAGAAAGTCGAGGCCGAGCGCCGTGCCGTCCAGGAGCGCGTCGAGGCCGAACAGGCTGCCAAAAGAGCCGCTGAGGAAGAGGCTCGCAAGGCTGCTGAGGCTGAGAAGGCCGCCCAGGGAGGAGCAGACCAGGAGATGAAGGACGCCGATGCTCCCCAGCCCGAGATTGAGGAGGCTGACCCCAAATAAGCATCGCGCGCCACAAACTTTACCGAGGGAGGAGGACCAAGGAAGTATTTCCAGAGAAGAACAAATACTCTGCGATAGAAAACGTTGAAGTTTGGTAAAAAAAAAAACATTTCACATAACGGAGGAAGGGAACTCACGAGGGATCATCATGTCTACACATTCTAGAGTTGTTATATCATATGCCCCCCCCAACGTAGCTATGACCTTTTTTTATAGGTATGCATGAAAGGATTACGTTAGACCTTGCCAGCTCTTCTACATGTTGTCTTAATAGTGATGCATGTAAATCAACTTTGCTATATGCTCCGACGGTTTGGAGCCATGTGCGCAAGCCAATGTCAATTCATTCCATTTCCCCTATTCATGTCCCATTGTCATCCCTCATATCCCGCACGTCTAGCCCCCTTTGTGCTCGAATCCCCTTGCTCCCCTTGGTCATCCTCCTGGCTCGACCTTCCCCTTTGGCCTCGTCTCTACTACTTCACGACACGTTCTTCATCACCATGCTGCATCGGTCTTTTTGGAAAAGGGATACGCACTCTTTGTCATCTCTTCCTCTGTGATGGCAACCTCTTCTTGTCCTACTACTTGATACAAAGATTGATCGTCTTTCTTGAACAATCTAGCCAGCTATATAAAGCAACCCTTCCAGAGACATAAAAACACATCAAATAGCATATAAGGAAAAGGAAAATCAGAAACAACCGGATGCTTTTATAACCACGTAAATGAGAAGAAACCAAGAAGAAGAGGGGAAGAGCAGAAAAGGAAGAAACAAGAGGGTAAGAGAGCTGGTAGTCATGCTAACGTCGGCCAGCGCAGAGAGAGACCGAGAGAAGAAAAAACGAATGAGATGAGTTTTCATTTCTTCTACGCCTTCTTCTTCTCATCATCAACCCGGGTTTAAATGTCAAACAGGGGCTTGAGCTTGATGATGAGCTGCCACTCGTCATTCGTCACCTCCTTGCGGTAAAACTCCTTGAGGGTGTCGATGCTCTTGCGCGAGATCTGGCTGTAGAGCAGGTCCGACTCTTCCAGGTGGCGGCCGTAGATGGGCTGGTGGCCGCCCATTTCAATCTTGACGGCGACCGAGGGCTGGCCCTTTTTGCAGACGGGGACCTGCTTGTGGTCTCGCTCGATGGAGGTCCTATTGAAGAGAAGAGTGCGTTAGTATTTAGACTTTCTTTTCTGGGTATTGATTCAAAGATTGAGCAAAGGGGTGTGTGTGTGTGTGTGTGGAAAACTTACACTCTACCAAGAGGAATGACTTCCTTGACGCCGGTCGTGGGGTTCGTCTTGACGGCCGCAATCGGCGTGTTAATCTTGAGCTGGCCCTCAACCACATCCACACCAATGACGATGGGAGCCGTCTTGTTGAAGACGGCAACGGGCTTCAGGACGCAGGGGAACACGGCCAGCATCTTTGACTCCTCCTTCTTCTTCTCCAGCATCTCGTCCATGTGCTTGGTGAAGTTGTCAAACAGGTGGTAGATGATGTCGGCCTGGAAGATCTTGATGCCCTGGTCGTCGGCGTATGCCTGCGCTTCCTTGTCGACCTTGACGTCGAAGCAGAGCATCACGGCGTAGTCGGGCGCCTTCTCCAGCATGATACCGCACTGCATCACGTCACGCTTGTAGACCGGGCCGATGCCAACGTTGGCCACGGGAATCTTGCAGTCCTTGAGGAAGTCCAGCAGGGCTTCCAGCGAACCAAGGGTCGAGGCCTGCACGCTGACACCGCGACCAGACGTCTCGACTCTGCTGAGAAGGTTGGCCAGGTCAGACTCAACCTCGTCAACAATCTCATCTTCGTCGTCGTCGGGACCGACAACCATCAACCGGGAACCTGCAATGGCTCCCTCAAGGCCGGGGGCACTAATCTTGACACCCAGAGCTGCCTTGACCTCCTTGTTGTGAACGTAGGCCGACTTGAGACGCAGTTCGCGGAGCGGTGCCGGTGTGAGCAGAGCTCTGATGTTTGTGACAATGGCACCCTCGGTACCACACAGAACGATTCGGTCGCCTTCCCTCAGGATACCGTTGGACAGGATGACGTCGATGGTCATGCCGAAACCTTCAATAGCCTTGACTTCCAAGACAGTTGCCTGGACCTCGGACAGGTACATGAGCGAGCCAACCATGCGCTCTTGCGTGAGCTGAATGATGAGCTTGAGCATGTCCGGAATACCCTCGCCGGTGTGCGCCGACGTGGGCACGAGCGAGACGTACTTGGCCATGGACTTGTTCTGGTAGAAGAGCTCAGAGTTGAAACCCTGCTCGGCAAAGGCCAGCTTCGTCTGCTCCAGGCGGTTCTTGAACTCGTTCTGCACCGCCTTGCTCTGGAGCGCCAGACTGTCCTGGAAGCCGTTGTTGTCCACCTTCTTCCAGCCGTAGAGTCTGTCAATCTTGTTGAGCGCCACGATGAAGGGCGTTTTCCTCTCGCGGAGCATGCGCATGGACTCTAGAGTCTGCGGCTCAAGACCGTGCATGATGTCGACAACCAGAATGGCAATGTTACAGAGGGACGAACCACGGGAACGGAGGTTGGAGAAAGACTCGTGACCAGGGGTATCAATGACGAGCAGACCGGGCACCTTGAACTCGAAGTCGTTGTTCTTGTTGACGACGGCCGTCTTCTGCTTGATGGCGTCGACGGGGAAGTATGTAGCACCAATCTGCTGCGTGATACCGCCGGCTTCGCCCTCCTGGACGTTGGTCTGTCGGATCTTGTCGAGAAGCTTGGTCTTTCCGGTATCGACGTGTCCCAGAATACAGCAGATGGGGGAGCGCAGGTTGTCCTTGGATCGAGCAGCGAGGGCGGCCTGGTGCGCCTTCTCTCGGCGCTCGGCAGCCTCCTTTTTGCGCTGAGCTTCCAGTTGCTTCGCTTTGGATACGGCTTCGTCTTCGGACTCTTCTTCGGACTCGCTCTCGCTCTCGTCCTCTTCCTCTGACTCGTCTGCCTTCTTCTGCTCCTTGTCTGCGCCGTTGGCTTTGGCGGCCGCCTTCTTCTCCGCCTCCTCATCGGAATCGGCATCCCAGCTGTCCTTGACGTCTTCTTCCTCTCCGTCGACAGCAGCTTCCCAGTCATCTTCGACCTCGCTCAACTGAGCGGCCTTTTCGGCCTTGGCCTTGGCCTCGGCCTCGGCCTTTTCCTTGGCAGCCTTTTCCTCTGCCTCCTTCAGTGCCTTCTCGGCCTGGATTCGGGCCCTTTCGGCGGCTTCAGCCAGAGCAGCCTCTTCGTCCTTCTAGATAGTGGTAAGAAAGAAGGCGTTAGCGAAGGGGGGACAGTCAATAAAGGGGTGTTAGGTTGGGGAGTGCAATGCTTACCTTGTCGTTCTTGCCCCTCTTCTTCTTGCTGTCATAAACCACCTTCTTCTTGGGCGCACCCTCTTCGTCCTGAGGGCCAATCTTGATACCCGCAGCAAGCATCTGCTGCAGCTTGAGCTCGTTCCGGGCCTTCTCCTCCTTCTGGGCCTTGGTGAGGAACTTGCCCTCCTTCTTGAGCTGCTCGATGCGCTCCTTTTCCTTCTGCTTCTTGAGAGCCCTCTGTTCCTCCCTGCGCTTGGCTTCCTCGGCCAGTCGCTTCTCCTCTTCCTCTGCCTGAGCCCTGGCTTCGGCTTCCAACCGGGCTGCCTCTTCCTGCTTGCGACGCAGCTCCTCCTGCTGCTTCTGAATCAGGGCGAGGTGTGCCGGGACCTTCTTCTTCTTGCCTCCCGTCTCAGCCGCGGCGGGAGCGGCAGCGGGGGCGGCGGGCTTCTCGGCAGCGGGCTCATCTTTCGTAGGGGTCGCCTTTGCCGGCTCAGCAGCCTTTGCGGGTGCCGGAGTCTTCTTCTTCGCAGCCTATTGCAATGACAAGTCAGACATTCAACTTTGTCCCCCAGATGACCATGTGATGGGAGCGTCCATACCTGTTCCTTCTTGCGCTGCTTCTCGCGCTCCTTCTTCAGCTTCTCCTTCTCGGCCTTTGTGAGTATCCTGCCGGGCTCCTCGAGATCATCCTTGGCTTCCTTGGTGGCGGCCGCGGCGGGAGCGGGCTTGCCCTTGCCGCCCTTGCCCTTCTTCTGCGGCAGGGCGAACTCGTCGTCGTCCAGAGAGGCCTCGACGGGTGCCTTGGCGGACAGATCCTCCTCGACGGGCGCGGGCGCCGGCTCGTCGTCGACAATGCCCTTCTTCTTGCGCTTCTCCTTGTTCTTGCGCAGCATGGCCATCAGGCCGCCGCCGCCAGCCGTCTCCTCCTCCTGAGCATTGTCGCCATTGTTCTCCTCTGCAGCGGGCGCCGTGGCCGCCGCCGGGGCAATGCTCTCGCCCAGCTCTGCTTCCCAGTCCTCCTGGGCGTTCTTGTTTCCCTTCTTCTTCGGCGCCATGGCTGCTGCTTGGTCTCGTGTCGTCGACGGTTGGAAAGGGCGAAGAAAAGACGAGGAGGGGTAACTCGATGTCGATGGGGGTGGGAAAATTCAGAAAAGAGATTCAACCCCGCAGTGTTGAATAGAAATTAGTGAAGAAGAAATTGGGCAAAGAATTGTTCCCCAAAATGACAGAATGGGAGAAACAATGTAAACGAGAGGAAGGGGAAAAAAAGTAGGCAACTAGAAAAAAATAAGGCCGGAGATAGTACTGAGCTGTCCCGCACTAAATTAATCCGCCACCTTGTCTGGCCTCTTTGGTGGTTTGACGAGCAACCTTTTTTTTTTTCTTTGCCTTTTGCTATGCGGGGCAGCAAATGGGGGTGTCTCTTATGCCTGGATTTTGCGGGACTCGACTGTGATGCCTCTTCTTTCTGCTTTACTAATGGGATTTCTCTGTAATTCTTCCATTGTCTTTTACTCCGTTGCGCATGTATACTTCATGGCAATATGACTGTCCAATGAGATGCACTTGAAATGCCAGTGATGGAAGCGCTGAGTAGAGTAGGGAGTGCCTTTACAGTCCCCAACTCGGCTATCTAGCATCACCATAGACCGATCCAATATATCTTTTCGACTGCTACCATCACCACTATTGAACATTGCAAACGGTTGCTATCTTCTACTATGACCGCGACATATATCCAATCTTACTATAAAAGTTCTCAAGCAAATTAGGCATATGGAGACTGGCTCTTCGCTCAGTATCTAACAGTTTGGGATGCTGGAGAGTCTCTCTAGTACAACCACGAGGTTTAGGTTAGGTATGTCAACAAAGGTCAAGCTCAATGAATTACGACCTCTGGAGCTCTGACCGGTAAGAGTCGAGCTATGCCCCGGTTAGAAAGGACCAGTACCTGGCAATAATCACTGCTATACCACTGTAAAACCTGCAGTACTACTAGTACGTACGGGTACATAATATGCACCAGTGCCCTAACTTGTAGCGGTGACTAGGCACAGCCATTCCATGTCATCCGTATGCACCTCTCACAACCAGCAGAGAGCTGCCTTCGATTCACTATCCTGGAAAGCAAAAAGGAAACGATATCAAAAAGAAGATGAAAAAGAAAAAAACATACAACAGCCGGTGTTCGCCAGTGGTCACCCACCTGACTACTAATCTGCCTCTCATTGGCTTGACTCTGGGAGAGCAGACGGGATCCCGTATTTTCCAATGGATATGGTCGTATGTGACAAGACGACGCCTTGTCTGCGATTATAACCATGGGCTTACCACATACAACACGCACTGGCTCGCCAAGCTATTCCTCAACATATTCCAGCTCTTTCCCATCATGCTAAATTGGCAGGACCGTACAGATTGCTAGGCAAGTGCTGAGGGAGGGGGGGGGGACAACGAGGCAATCTTTCTGCTGCATCCTCATCCCCGTTGCCTGACTGGCATCTTCTGCGTGTGAAGCTATCATCAAATCGCGCCCACCACCACATTAGGGCCACGGAATATCAACCAGAGCGCTGGTTCACCAAGCTGCGTAAACAAATGCACGTATACTCAATCTCGCTGCATAGGTAAATCTACTGGGACGAATAAAAAAGGCTGGAGGCAAGACCCTAGCAGGCAACGTCGTTGGTTACCTGCCTCAACCTACATGTTCGTACGCTCTGCGGCAATTTGGCCGACAAGTCATGGAGTCACGTGCAGTGAAAGCTGGCCTACCTAGGAATCAGTATATATATTATGCTAGTAATTTTCCGAGTTACCTTCGGGTCGTGGTGGTGTCGCATCCAGTAATCAAAAAGAGCAATACGAGAAGGGCGCCACATTTTTGCCCACGACCTCTTAGGTTCGAGACCTGGTGCAGTTTTTACGATGTTTTTTTTCAGCACCTTTTAGAGAATAGAACCTCTCTACATCTAGCTTAGGTATACAATGATCTTTTCGAATTATAACAGACTTGTGAAGTCGAGCGAGAAACTGGGATGTTTGTCTGCATCGTCGTATGTGCTTGATTTCACACCTCCAAGGCTTATAATATCTCCTTGGGCCTCCGCCGAGTTGAATATCGATACCCTCAGCTCCGTGGAGAGCGCATTCGATGCAAACCAAGTCATTGCCTGCTCAACTTTGCAACTTGATTCACCCCTCAGTAAACTTCAACGCAACATGTGGATCATGTATCAATTCTTGTGCTGGAGCTGGCACAATCCTGCAGTCGAGACCCTACATTCAGCTATATGTCCTCCTCCGTATGCTTACCAAAGGACCAAGCCAAGTACCCCTGTGACCCCAAAGCTGCCGTATCCATCCCTTGCTATATGCAATCATGCCATGACAACGTAGATGCCTCATTCACAGTGCCGGTGCAACGAGAAACTTGATAATCTCGTATCCCAGCTCAAAGTATCTTTCTCTCCGCCTCACCTCCCCTTCGTGTTTGAAGCCGACGGTGTAAGTCCCTCCCCCTATCGCGTCCAGGTGGTAACAGTACACAAAGAAGACATCATCGGACCCCAGAAGCCTTTCCAAGATGCGCAACTTCAAGCATCTCTTCAGCAGGTCGCCGTCAATGTGCGTTATCTTTGGTGTGGGCTGCAGTTCCAGATCCAGAATGTCCACCCTGGAATCGACTTGCAGTGTGTCGAGCGAAGTAATGCCTGCTTTTGTTTGCGCCAGTGTCTGGATCATGAGCAGTAACCGCCACAGCTCAATGCCGAGCAGCGAAACCTGGTGCAGCGAGCCATCCAGGGAGACGCCAAGAATCTCCGATCCATCATGGCTGCTCGGCAACGTCCCATAGCGTCGCTGCGTATTGTCCACGAGCCACGGGGGCCTGCTGCGTGCTCTCACAAACCTCCTCACCGAAGACGGCAACATGGCTTCGAAAACCACCTCGAACTCCCTGTCCCGCTGGCCCAGGGGAGCCCACAGGCCAGCTATGACACCCACCTGGTCTGAGACGAGAGTCAATGGCCATTGGCCATGGCCTTCAGTGGGATCACCAATGTCTATCATGTGAACTCCTCTTCGAGAGATCTGGTCGCCGTGGACGAGCTCCATGCTGCCGTCTTCCGTAGACTGGTAATCAATCACTTCAAGAGAGTGCAAGGCAGTCAATGCAAAGATCTTGCCCTTGGACACGCGCAGAGATATCGCGGGGGAGTCGAGCAGAAACTGCTTCACAGGCTTCAGCTTTCTCTCCGCCAGATCAAGGACTTCCCAGTGAAGCGTCTTGTGGACACAGTATATCAGGCCTTCTGCATCTGCCGTGATTGAATAGACTTCGCCGGGCAGGCGCTTCTTATATCGTGTCCAATATCTGAGCACTCTGCTCTCGCCATTGGCCGAGCGAGCATGTAGTTTTTCCGTAGACACGATAATGAGCTCTCCACGTTGCGTGGTCACGAGTATAAAGGGGAACACTTTCCCGTCTTTCTTATATAGCCACTCATGTAGCCCAAATACCCTGTCTTCGTAACGGCCCAGGCCAGAGATGAACTCGACTTCTCGTCGATCCTTGTCGGTAGCAACCGAGATTGTCGAGCCAGAATCGGGGTCGATGAACCGCAGAGTGGGCCTGTCGTCAATGGTTATCGCGACGACAAGGCAGTTGAGCGTCTGCGAGAAAATGATCCTCGACGGGGTGCCCCCGACCGGGATAGACCTAGGCACATTTCCAATATGCGGACCAAAGTCAGCCAAGAGTAACCTTGATCCAGCGAGGATGAGAAGGGATGTGTGCCCATCTTGCCCTGACAGATTCTGTGAAATCCTGTGGATGGAATGGATTGGGGGACAGGGCATCTGCGGATCGCTCAAATCCGTCGGCCATACGTAATGTTTGCTGTGAAACTTGCAGTCCTCTGTTGAGAAGTTGCTGAGCAAAATCAGCCTATTGTCGCAGCAAGCAAAAGCCGTCGACGACCCAGTGTAAGGTACTGAAGTTGGGAAAATGTCGACTCGCGCTACACCAATGACTTCCGAGTTCCACGTCAGATTGTCCGGAGTCTGATCGGATATTCGGGCTGTGATCAGGCTGCCGCATCGAGTGCCCAGCACGAGGTCAACTTGATCCGCGCTCTGATGGGCCACAGAGATGCTAGTCAGTGCCTCAAGCTCAGCACTACCCCCTTCTTCCGCAATAAATCTCACGTCAACCATGGCTCATAGATCCAAAGGGAAGCTAGCCACCGTCCAAGGTTAGGCTGCAAAGGGGATGAAAGACTCACCTTGACTAGTTGAGATGGGCCCAGACACAATCTCCTGACCAGTTGTTGAGTAGATGGATATCCACGGGACTCCGTTGTACATGGAACCGGCGGCAATGAAGCTCTTGTTTGAGACTGAGAATATCGAAACGCAGGTCACTTCACCCTGCGCGTCCCAGCTTCCCACCAAGGAAAACTCGATGCCTTCAGCAGTCATGACATGCAGCCGGGACACCGGTGCAATGTGTGTAGAGAAGACGACAGTGTGCCCAATGCTGAAGGCACTCTCCGCAGCGGCGTCAGGTATACCGAGAGTTTCGCCAATGAGACATCGAGAGCTGGTCAACGAGTTAATTCGAGCTTTGGCACAAGACCGGAGGGGGGGAAGGGGGGAGGCTCCCTTTACCTTGCTGTAGGAGTAGCCACATTGATGGACCTTTCAGTCACTTGAACTACGCTGTCCGACACTTGAATAGCGTGTAGAGTCCTGGAGGCCAAGTCGAAGGGGGTGTCTTCAGGAGGCACGGCATCGACCTGATCAAGGCTTTCCGAGAACCGAAGGACGACTGATGAATGAGGTAGTGCCAGAAGGCCGTAGAGCACCCTCTCATTGGCCTGATGCGTGGTAAATGTCCATGCCTGCCGTATGGGCTCACCTGTTTCGATATCCAAGCCGATTCGAGCCTGGATTCCCCATCTCCATTGCACTACGCTACCGGTCAGGCCGCGACCAGATGCGCTGAAAACGCCGTCTTGTCTGCGCATCGCGTTGCGTCGCTGCGTCATTGATCTCGGCTGCGCCAGCTGAAGGTCTGCTTCGCTTGGGTGCCAGCTGGAGTATTCGTTCGTCGTCGTCATGTCAATAACGGGAGACCAATTGGGAAGACTGCTAACACGCTGTATATCCTGACGAGGGGCGAGCTGAACAGGGTGAGGAAAGACTCATCGTCAATAATAGCCAAGTGACGCATGCTCGAGAGAGGAAGACATACCTTCCAGATGCCGCCTGGACCGGACTCTCCACCGATGATGAGTACGTCGGAAAAGATATCGTATGCCGTAGTAAACGCCGTATCAATGTTGGCTCCCAGGCATCCGACATTGGTTACGGACGGCAAAAGTTCAGCCGCATCTATCTCAATGTGAATGATTGCACCATCCTCACGGGCCAGGTAGATGATGTCGGTTTTTTCAAAGTATTTCTTCCTCCGAAATGGCCTTGCCCAGGCGACCCAGAGCGGCTCGTCAACGCCGTGATGTTGCGGCGTCCGCGGAGGAGGTTGGGTCGGCAAGGATTCGAATTCAGGGGCGCCCGAAAGCGCATACTTTACAACTCCTATATGGGAGTGTGAGACGGCAAAGAAGGCCGATTTAAACTTGATGGGAATGAGCAGAAGGGGTAGCCTATGCTCTTTGGGGAGCCGAGTTCCAGTTCTTTCTTCGGCGAAAGCGATTTGCAGATCGTCACCCAGCTCCCATTCATAGGTTGCCATTCGAGAAGAGGGGGGCCCGCGACTCCGTTCCCGCCGAGCGACGACTAGGAGTAGGATGATATGATAGTCATCCTCGGCGCGAGGATGCAAGAACTCGAGCTGATGGAGGGCCCCGCTGACAGTTCGGATACGAATGGACTTGATGGGCTCGATAGACCCGTGCTCTGCATACTGCTTGTTGAGATCCGACAATGCTTCTAACTCGTAGACCACAAAGAGGCCCTCCGGCGATCCTGCAGCCATATACCGGGAAGACGGGTCCACGGAAAGCTGATAGCCCAGGTAAGGTAGCAGCCTGGGGTTCTCATACGTGGTAATGACGAACTCGAGCGTCTGGTCCGGTCGTTCTCTCACGAATATGAAGAGCAGCTGACAGGACTCGAGCATCAGGACGAGCAGCTGCGGCGGAAGCGAGCGGCTTCGAAGCCCGTCAAAGATGCCATGCGCACCGGGAGACAATGGAGAGGAGGTCGGTTCAGATTTGACGGCGACGCCCAACGGGTCATCGTCCAGGCCATGCTCCAAGCTGTCGCCGAGAACAGCGGCATTTCGAATTCTGAACCCAAAGTCGGACTTGCGCAGTACGTCATGAACCTGGCCGTCTCTTCCAAGTTGACTGATCTGGAGGAAATGTTCCTAACAAAGAGGTCAGCCGAGGCAGCCATAGAATACAGGTGTGAGACCCCATGGTGACCTGCTGAAGAAAGCGTGACTTGGTCTGCATAGGATCTATTTCTGAATCTATTCTCCTCACACGAAGATTGACTTACACCGATAAAGGCAATATCGTTGTGCGTGCTTGAGCGCAGCCGGACTGGCAGCACCCATCGAACCACCGGACTCTCGACAATGGTATGTGTAAGAATGCCGCAGGCTGGAGGTTGTTGCACAGGCTCAGAGGCCAGTTGTGGAGCGGCAGAGGCTTTCAAGGCAGCTTGGAGGTTGACGGTCTCAGTAACCCACTCGCCATCTCTCAAAACTCTTGTCTGGAACGCCATTTTTAGGTCAATCTTTTCATGTCATCCTCCGGGAAAGGCATGTAGCGACTGGAGAGACCAAGTAAAGAGGTGGAGCGCCAGGAAGCGGTTCAATTATCGAGAAGAGACCTTTGGCTGAGCGCGGTCGTTGTTCAGGGCGTAGAGGATGAGTATGAGGGCGTGATGTTAGAAGAATGCGGAGAGCGTTGGGATCGCGGCGTTGTCTGAATCAGTATGACGACGTTCTCCTCCTCATAATGCGAATCGACCACCGATTTGGTGAGAAGGCGAGAGACGGTTGGCGATGCTCGGGCACGGCTGAGGCTTGGGCACGTTCCGGTGACGTTTGACGTTGGTACGTGCAGCTGCTCACAATGCCCGTCTGGTCTGATGGAGAGCTAGAAGCTCAACGAGTGAGATTCGATGCTAGCAGATCTGAAGCTTGTCCTGTAGTAGGGCATTCACTGCAAGCTAGGTACTGGAGAGCAGCGGCCCGGGCTGGAAGCGACCAGTGGGAGGGCAATTGTAATGGTCAGGCAGAAAGTGATGCTGGGTACCTATTGAGGGCTTTTTTGGAGAGAAAAGAAAAGCAAAGAGTAAAGTGAGAAGTGACAGGAGCAGGCTGAAGGAACAAGATGAAAAAAAAAGAGCTCTGGAGGCAGCAGATTGGAGGTGCCCAAAAGGAACCTGGAAGAGCTGAGCTTGCGAATGGCCAGCCTGCAGTACCAGATGTACCTACTAGGTACTTCGTGTATTGGACACACACACAACACGGGCACCCGTCAGATCTGGACGGTTGGGTCGAGGTACCTTTCAGTTATGGGCATTGAAGCATGCCTACCTAGGTACATTCAGGCTGTCAATTTTATCATTTCTCACTAAATGGCGCCCAGATGAACTGAAGAAGAGCTGGTTGTCGGTGCAAAATCCATCTTCAAGTGCGAGTACCTCAGACTAAAGTACCTTGGGAACGAGATGCAGAGTGGGGCTGTTCAAGTACATCTACATCTGCCCACTCCTGCACCAACATTCAACACCCACCTGCAGCGGACATGCAAGTCTCCCTCACATTGAAATGCCTACATACCTACCTTGATTACCTAGGTACACAGTCAGAGTCGAGGTACGTGGTAAACAATCGTGTCCCAACCATGCAAGGAATCTCAATTTAGGTACCCATCTGGTCCAGTCCATTGGCACCACGTACTACCTACCCTGCCGTACCTAACCATAGATCGATCTATGGGCAGATATCATGGACAGCATATACTGACAGACGGGCCTCCATAGTCCTACGTGTCATGATTACTCTGGACAAAGCTCTCGAGAGCCAAATTGGAAGAGTGGGTGCAGCTCTTACACTTGTTCTGTCGAGAACAACGGCTGGATGCCCTCATACAGCTGCCCATCCGCAAGTCGGTGTCCTGGGATCTCAGATGGTACCCAACGAAGATGTGAGTCAAGGTTACCGAATATATCGTCTGCAAATGTCTCCGTGTCTCGTCATCTCAGTCCCCTGGTGGATTCAGCAATGTGGCGATTTAGAAAGAGCATCGCTCTTCTTTCCAACACCAGCACCAGCCATGCATGGAGACTGGTGAGTCAATATTTCGTGCCTATATGCGATGCAATATTGGGTATGACCATGCGCGTGTCACCCTCAAGGCATCGATAGTCATCGAACTGTAACATTCTCATATCCCACACGCTCTTCCGGAACGGGTTGATGTAGACAATTTTTCTTAGATCCCTCATTAACAGCAATAGACGGTCGTACGTACTACTCCATCAACAAATAACGAGATGCTGAGCTTTTCGCCATGAAGACTGCTGTCGACCACTTGCTGCAGCACCTCCCCGGTCATTCTCCACTCGGTGAGCGAAAGAACCAGGATCTGGAAGCTCAGAGAGCCTACAGAGGAGCCAACCGGATGGTTCCATCTGGTGGGCCTCGAGCTTGCAAGCAGAAGCAGGCGAGGCTATTGCTGCAGATTCAACGCGGCCTGACGCGAGACGTAAGTGCTGTGCTTGAATCACTCGTACACCATTGTGGTTGTCCAAGTACTGTACTCGTACAGATCGCACACCAAGCCAAGGTGCAAAAGCTGAGCGAAAGGGCTAGTAATTACAGCATCCAGCTACCCCTTACAAGAACCCTTTTAGAGAAAACGTAATGGAAAGGAACGAGCCGGACAGTAGTGAACCAGGCATGCTCACAAATCCCACCCATTTTCAATGCTGGTCACCTGGCCGCATAGAGTCACTGTTTCATAAGGTACACCAGACCAATACTAGCATGTCCCCAAACGCATGATATGAGATGGTTGGATTACACCTCTTCCCAACCCATCTCAAGAGGATCAATCCTTCACAGAACAAATGTCAAATGCGAAGAATGAAGCTGAAGAAAGTGGCCTTGTAGTACCTTGGGTTCTGCATTGGGACCAGTTGCTGCTGTGTAGGTAGGTATGTCTTACATGTGACACCCGACCATATCAACCCCCCCGCCAAAGACGACATGAAGCTAATACTGCTTCCGCACAAGCACCTCAGCTCACACGCCCAAACCACAACGTCACCAGCACTAGCCCGATTCACCACCCGACGCCAAACCTCCATCCAAACCACCCAAGAAACACACACCACCTACCAAATAGCACATGAGCCTGGAAAAAGAGCCGGCCGACCACGCTGGCCTCCGCCACGATGACGACGACGACAACGACAACGACAACGACAACGAGCACAAGGACAACAGCCGTGCTGCTGCTTCCAACGACGACGGTGACGATGATCCCGTCGACTCGCCCGCCGTCGCCCTGAAGACGAGCGAGATCCTCGCCGCCTGCACCTGGCGAGATGCCACGCGCCTGAGGGCCCTCGCCGAGTCCGAAGGCGGCCTGCTCGCCGATTCTCTGCGCCGAGCAGCCTGTACGTGTTCTGCAATGATATGCTATTCTTTTTCCCTTCTCTTTATGAGGTGCTGACATGTCGAACCTGTGTATAGGGCCCATCCTGCTTGGAGCGTCTCCCCCTGCCAACGAAACGAAGCATGTCGACAACGGCGACAACGACGACAACGACGACGATGGCCTCGCTTACACAGACGGATCGAGTTCCACTGCTGACGGCGATTGGAAGGATCTGCCACGGCATCGGGACGAAGACCAGGTCCAGCTCGACGTCAACCGCTCCTTTGTCCACTATCCAAGCGGTACGTCACACAACATTTACCCTTGATACCCGCGACAGGCATCAATCAATACCCAGAGAACGTACAACTGACCTGCATGCAACGCCACCAGACCAATCCGAGCCAGAACTCCACAAGCGCAAGCGCGAGCTCTCCGACCTCATCGTCGAGGTCCTCCGCCGCCACCCCTACCTCTGCTACTTCCAGGGCTACCACGACATCTGCCAGGTCTTCCTCCTCGTCCTCGAGCCCGCGGCGAGGGCGCCCCTCGTCGCCCGCCTCTCCGTCCTGCGCATTCGCGACTTCATGCTGCCCAGCCTCAGCGCCACCACCGCCCAGCTCCGGCTCATCCCCGACATCCTCGCCCGCGCCGACCCGCAGCTGCGCCGGCACCTCTCCAGCATAGAGCCCTTTTATGCGCTCGCCGGCACGCTCACCATGTATGCGCACAACATTGAGCGGTACAGGGATATCGCTCGGTTATTTGACGTGATACTGGCCCGGGAGCCTACCTTCTCTATATACTTGTTCGCCCAGATCGTCATCGACCGTCGCGAGGAGATCTTCGAGATTGACGAACCCGACATGCTGCAAGTCATACTCGGCAGGGTGCCCCCCGAGCTGGACCTAGATGGCCTCATCAAGAGAGCCGTAAACCTCTTCACAAACCACCCTCCCGAAACCCTCCGCTCATGGCATCACATTTCCAGCTCCAGCGTGCTCAAAACATGCAGAGATGTCGACGCGAGCACACGGCAAACATTAGAAGACGGACACCGCTTCTTCGAGAGGCAGGTCAAGGAGATACAGTGGCAGGAGCTGAGGATGGGCGTCAGGAGAAAGATGTGGGTGTACAGGCGGCCCGTCAAGTACGTCGGGGCTGCCATCATGGTCGGATTCGTGGCCTTTTACCTTCGGCGGAACCCGTCGCTGGTCCAGTACATATGGTCCTTGTTCCCCGGTGGGCATTGATGTGTTTTCATTAGAGGAGAAAATAAAGGGGGGCGAATGGTGTTCCAAGGAATCAATATTCTTACATGAGAGGACCGCCCTTGGGGGGAGGCGCTAGAGGAAGAAGAAGAAGAAAGGGAAAAAAAAGAGGTGGAAGATTTTAAAGAAAAGGAAAACTGTGATGGGAATCGTACAAGGGTTTCGGTTGTCTATGTGCAGAGAGAAGAAGAATAAAAGCTTCTTACACATGTGCCTGTCTAATTATTCAACCCTTCTTCCGTAAACATGCTAATATGCCTCCTGACGCCAATACAGTAAGCAACAACTGCTGAACAAGAATCCAACCATGGCTTTCATGACACTGCCCCCCCCCCCCCCCCCCCCCCCCCCCTGGATCCAAACGCTTTGGTGCTTCACATGATGAGGACATGCCCTCATGCTTTCTTTTTGCCGCGAGATACCTATGTACATCTTACGCTTCGCCTTGGTATTTCTGCTTCAGCTCCTCAAAGTGCTGCTGCTGTTCCTCCGCCAGCTTGCCCGTCTCGTCGCCGATAATGGTCAGGATCAGAGAATAATTGTTGTACAAGAAGCGCTCGCTCTTCCTCGCCTCGCCATGCGTCTGCGCGTGTCGAGTCAGAAAGGTTTCCACCTCGGAGCGCAACCGGCGCACGCTCGCCACGACCGGCTCGTCGTCGCCCGCCTCCGTGGACAGGGCCAGGAAGCCCTGGAGCAGCTGTCCGAACCGCTGCGTCACCATATGAGGCGCGGCCGACATCTTGCTCTGGTCGGCCTTGGCCAGTTTCGTAGGCGCGGCATTGGTCAGCAGGCGGACGGATTCGCAATGGCGGTCCATGATGACCTGCAGCCGTGGCCACAGCAGCATGTTGGTGCCGTTGATGTAGCCGTCCACGGCGGGCACTTTTCGCCTCTGGAGGTCAAAGGCGAAGTGCTGGTTGAGTCGGATGCAGAGGAGGAGCCCCAGGGCATCAAAGCTCTCGCTGACAAGCGTCTTTGAAAGCGCCCTGCCAACCTCAAAGGTTGGCTCAAATATAAAGTTGAAGTTTCGGGATATCTGTGCATACGACAGGGCGGGCGCAAAGAAGGCCGCCAGAAAGGTGTACTCGGCCGTGGCATTGTCGATGAGAGCCAGGTTGAAGTTTCGGAAGGGAACTTCCAGGTAGTGAGTCGACTGGTCCTCCTCTGCCAGGTACGATGAGATGGCCGAGGTGCTCTTTGTCCGCAACATGTCGATCCGGCGCCCGAGGTTGAATGCGTCGTGTGGCGGGCCAGCAACCCGGCTGCTAGACAGGACGGCCGTTTTCCTCGTGGCATCCTCCTGCCCTAGGACGTCGTTCTTGTCCAAGACATGGAGCTTGAGCTTGGCCAAAGCCCTCTCATAGCGCGTGAACTGATTCAGGTAGTACCATCGCATCGTGTTCATGTACGCCTGCGATATCTCTTCTGCGAGGGCGGCATGATGCTTGTGTAGAAACGTATACAGGTCCTTGAACTTGAGAAAGTTCTGTTGCTGTATTATCTGCGCGTTGATGTGCGGTGACCGGAGGGCCTTGATCTGGGCGACGAGGAAGTCTCGGATACGCTCTATAGCCTGCAGTCTCATATGTCAGTTCATGTCCGCAGCCAAGTAGTCATCGTGAGCGCAGCGGATGTGGAAAGGCACCTTTAGGATCAGCTTCTCCAGGATGGGGCCAAGCTCCTCGCTGGCCTTGCCCTGCTGTGTCCCTGATAGCTTTTTGATGGCTGCCGCTCTCTTATCCACCTCGTTCAGCGTTTTAGCCCACGCTTCGTCAATGTGGCCTGTCGTTATCCGGGAGATGGTATCAGGGGACACGCTCAGCTCCTCCACCAAGGGGCCAAGCGCCTTTTCTATTCGTTTGCGGTTCTCGAGTCTTCGACTTAATGCGCTCGAGCGTGATTGCAGGGTTTCAATGTCGGCCGATACGGTCGACAGGTCGTTGCGGAAATCCGTGAGGTTGTTCTCGACAGAATTCAGGATCTCGTCGCACGCGACAATGGATCGATGCAAAGCGTCGAACCGGGCCTTGTCCTGCTCATCTATTGCCGGTAATTAGCACATGCATGGATGGGTGACTCCTGGCGCGAGCGCAAAGGGAGGTCGTTGACAGGACGAGACAAACATTCGCTCGCGGTCTGCGGCCGGCGCAAGCTCGTGGTAGATTGACCAGATTCTCCGGCAGCCAGCTCCTGAAGAGACAACCCGCCGAAGTCAAAGTCGAGCGCCAAGTCCTCCTGCGTGATCAAGCTTGCCCGGCTCTGGGCCTTGCCTATGACCTCAGAATCGGCTGCCAGCAGCTTCTCGAGGACGTCCACCGGGTCCGGAGCCGGGGCTGTAGGGTTCTGCCTGGCCTCTGATCCATTGGGCTTTCGAGCCGACGCCAGCAGCGACGTCGTCGAGTCGCCGGATACCAGGGAGAGCGACGAGCCCCGCGGGGAAGGGCCCTGCCGCTGCGAGGTTATGTAGGGACTGAGGTTGCTCGATGTCCGTCGCGGAAGCGGCGAGTTGTGTCTGCTGGTGAGCTGGGGAGTCGACGGCCCGGACGCGTTGGCTTGGGTCGCTGAAAGACGGTCGAGCCACATGTTGCGAAGGGCCCGGAGCTGGGACTGGGAGGGTTATCGATTGGAGAAGAGAGGGCGCTTCGCAATCATGACCGCCTCATGGCTTTGGGAGAAGGTCTATGTGTCCGGTTGACCACTGGGAGCGAGACGGCGGGTGGCTGCGGGACAAGGGCACGAGCATTGGTGAGCTTAAGCTTCAGCGAGCATCAACCGACACGGATCCAACGTCTGTGCCCAACACAATACAGTCCCAGGCTGCGATGTTGCTGCTTGGTGCTCAGCTGCCCTGAATGCGAATCGAATTGGATGTATGAACTTTGGGAGCAGTGAGACGACTGAGCGAGGCTATGCCGCTGCTTGTGGAGACGACATGCCTGAGCTTTGGGGGGCTTCAGTTAGCGCCATCGTTGAATCTTAGTGGAGGACCGCGCTACAGCTCTCGGGCTAGGTAGGTACCTAATCTCAGGGTCGGATCTGACTTCCAGGTTCCAGCCCAGGTTGCTTATGTGTGGTGCAAGCAGCTGCATCAAGCACCTGGCCTTCAGTCCCTGGCTAGGTAATGAATGTCAAAGTAAGGTACAGCAGCATGCACGAGGCTACCAAAAGTGACCCCATGAGGTAGGTATATACCTGTGCTGTTCTTGATAAGTTCCTTCCCCAGTGTTGGCTCCTTGTTAGGTAGTGCATAAGCCCAAGCCGCCGAGGTTAAAGCGCGCGCTGAGTCGTCACAACAACGCAAGGGAAGCCTAAGGCCCTGATCTAGAACGGCTAATTATCACCAGCCTGGCTGATTTAATAATAAAGACAGAGCAACTATACCTCTTTTAGCACTAAAATCGCGCATAATTTTATATATCTTGTCTCCGACCATATTAAATAAGTTAACTCCCTAGTTATAATATATTAGACTAGCAGGGGCTGTGTAAATGCCTATAATAGGAAAGGTTACTAGCTTTTAAAGAAAATTCTGCTAGTAGTGGCTAATTATTAATATTATAGAAATCTTTAAGGTTTTTAATTAGCTAGTACTTTTAAAGTTTTATACTTAGGATAGCAGGCTCCTTAAAGCTATTAGGCGACTTACTGCTTAAAGATATTATTAGTAATAATATTAATAATAAAGATAATAACGTTTTTATAGCTACAGCTATATAAATATATATCTGCATTAAGATATAGTACTGTTATACTGTTAGCTGCTGCTGCAGCACCTCTTAAGCTATTACCTCTTTAACTAGTTAACTCTATTACTTTAAGCTCCTTGCCCTCCCTAACTTAATATTTAAAGATCTATTTTATATGCTAAAGGCTGTGTTTTTTAAGCTCTGCAGATGGCTTTATATAAATATAAAGGCTTAAGGGAGTTAGTAGCTATCCCTTAAGCAGAAAGTTATAGTATTCCTTTAAATATATGCATTTAATATACTATAATAAATAGCAGCATTTTAATTCTATATTAGTTAGGCATTTATCTTAAGGATCTTTTAGGAGATAATTAAACTTATATAGAAATTATATATAGCTTTTATTTAGCAGCTAAATGCTAAATATATCTCCCTAGATATTAAGCTAGTAAAGAAGTTTACTGCATTTAATAGCATAATTAGTGCTATTAATAGTATATATATCCTAGTATATATCCCTATAGTAAATTAGTAATAATACTAGTTAAGGAAGAATAATATATCTTAAAATATACTTACTGCTACTACTTTAAATAGTGTTATAACCTAGCCTTATAGTTATAATAATAGGCCACCCTTAGTAAGCAGCACTAGATAAATATTAAATTATTTAGCTAATTAGGAGCTACTTAATAAAATTAACTATTAAGTATATTAAGAATAACTTAATAAACTTAATAATTAAGTATATTAAAGATATTAGAATAATTAAATATATAAGTTATATTTATATTACTTATTTAAATAGTTTAAATAGCTAATTATTATTATATTTTATAGTATTTATAATATAAATAAATTAAAACCTAGATATTTACTATAAAAGTGTATTAACTAGCTATATAATAAAAATACGCTTTAAGTATTAACCTAACTCTTTACTAATATAAACTTAAATAGCTCCCTTATTAAAGCTATTTACTTAAATAGTTTATTCTTTAAGAAATAGTATTCTTACTAACTATAAAAACCTAGTTTATTATATAATAATAACTCTTATTTAAAAAGTTACTTTAAACTCTTAGGGTAATATTAATTAAAAAAGTATTACTTTAAAATAAAAATAAGTAACTATAATAAGTTAATATAGTAACTTTAGGAAATATAAAACTTAATAATATTACTTAAAATATAGTAGAAAATATAGTATTTTAATAACTTATAACTTTTAAAAACTTAGTTTAATAATTAACTTAAGAATAAGCCTAATAGCAGAATATAATTATAGCTTTAAAAGCTTAACTAAATTAGTAAATACTACTAGTTATTAATATACTAGCTTTATATTAAGAAAAATAACTTAAAGAAATTATTAAGCTACTAATACTAGCTATATATAATAAAGATATAAGAAAAATTAAAGTATTTTTTATAAATATAAAAATATACTTTAAGTACTTTTTTATAACTATCTTAATAAATAAGATAAAGATATAAATTACTACTTTTTAACTAAAAAAGCTA